AGGAAGAAGAAGAGAAAAAGAGTCAAGAAAAGAAAGAGAGAGAGAGAGAACTATAGTTTGTATATTTTTGTAACTTCCGCCTACCGGCTTCGCCGGCTCTACTGGTAAATTACTATTGTTAGTATTGTTGTTATTTATCATTTTTGTTTATTTGTTTAAACTTATTTTTGTGTATTTATGCTTCTGGGTCGGCTGGTTTGGAGGTGAAGAAATGCCTGGGCTTTTCACAGGAAGTAGTGGATACCACAGGGTTCCCTTTAAACACCCAGGGTTTGGGTGCCAATTTAAGGCGAGCTTTTGGCGGGGTGGTGATTGAAGGGAAATACTGCGGATGGAAAAAAAAGCCCTGCATCACTTTGACACCATGTGTGAAACCATAAGGGTTTGTTGGTATCTACGTTGGGGAATCCTATCAGCAAACACGGTTTCTGAACGGTGGTGTAAAATGGATTCGCAACCATCCAGGTATCAGGAACCCTGTGCCGTGTTCAAACGCTTTACTTTTCACCCTTAACCCCAGTGACCCTAGGCACTGCTCAGGTTGGGGCGACACGAGGCTACCAAGTGGCCAGCCCCTGTGGAGCATCGACAAGGAGGGCTGCTGCGTTTGGATGGGTGTGCCCTGGATGGTTAGCTCAATGCGTTGGTTGCTGTTCTTGGGTTTTTTCACCCCCGAGCAGCTGAAAGCCATGGCATCTTTGCGCAGAATATGCTCCTAAGTGGAGGAGAATGACGTCGCATAAATTCCATAGATCTCTTCACACCAAACCCCGGCCCTCCCACACACACACACAAAAAGAAGAGAAGAGGCATAAAATAAAACTAAACAAATAAATGAACAAACAATTAAACAAATGAGTAAATAAGTGTGAAGGATCGTGTGCTAAGATAGGTTGCAGCCCAAACGAAGAACCACAGGCTTGTGCAACAACGCCATGAGTTTCATGCCACTGTGCATCTCGTATTTTGGGGTTGCCTATTGAATTGGAAAGCGGTTGATCTCCATAACCTATGCCATGACTCAGTTGCAACCCAGGAAAAGAGAGAAACCACGTGGCTTGGATTGATCGCGAGATTTGAACCCCTCGGTGCAGAAATGAGAAGCCTTCAAAGCCACCTTTTGTGAACTCATGTAGGACAACACTTGGCCTCTTTGGGCGTGCCTTCTTTCAGTTGGGACCGCAAACTGGGCCTTTTGCAGGGGAAGGCAGCAGGCAACCCACCTCTTCTTTGAGGGCACCCGGCCCAAGGTGGCTCTTTCAGGGGAAGCCACCCCGACCTGCACCAACTTGAAACCAGAACAAACCATTGTTTGTTGGTGTTTACAGGAAAAGCAGGGTTTTTTTGGTGGCGAGGACTTCGTCCATCCACAGTACCATGATGACTTCCCATTTCCGAGGGGCTGGGTGGCTTGGCGCACGACGTGCTGAAGCACTTCCTGGCATCCACCAAGGGCCAGTTCGAGGATCGAGGGCTTTTGCGAGCCGTGTATTTGAGTAGGGGTTGGCTATGTTTTTTTTTTGGTATGTGTGTTTTCCGGTTTGGCCAGAAGTTTTAGAATGAAGGCGCGAACCCAGGCGGTTTGTGGACATTGATTTCCTACATGAGGACTCCCGCACCCATGAGATGTTTTGAAATCGGGGACAGGGCACGAATATGGCAGATTGCTTTTTGGTTTCCTGTAAACAAGCAAGCAAGATCCAAAAAGGGTACTCTCCAAAAAAAGAGACCCGATAGGGAGGGATGCAATCAAAGGACCCGACAATCAAGCGCCCTGCCACCCAGGACCCAGGCAGGTCCACAAGGAACCTTTTCGACCAGTTCTTGCATGCGTGGCTGCCCCAATGGCGCACCCCTTTACCCGCAAAGGTTCCGGGGTTCTGGTGTTTTTGGGGACCAAACACTGGTCCGGGTTGCAAAAGAATAGGGCAGATCTTGCAAGTTTAGCAGCTCGATGGAAGCACACATGGGGCGGGAGTGGGGTTGAGTGGGCGGCACAAGGCCTGCTGTAGAAATCCCGCAAAACTGTCGTTGAAGCTCAACACTTCGCAAAAGGAATCTTCTTCCTTCCGTAAATGGGGGGCGTTCCTGCATGAACTGGGGGAAACGTAAAACTTGGACACTGCCCAACTAAGCCCTAATTCCAGAGCCGCCCCCCAAATCAACACCAAACCCCAAACCCCTCCAAACCCCTCCAAACTTTCCAAACTCCTCAACCACCCAAACCACCCAAATCACCTACCCAAACCACCCAAACCACCCAAATCACCTACCCAAACCACCCAAACCAACCAAATCACCTACCCAAACCACCCAATCCACCAACAAATCCCTTGTTTTCTCGTTTTTCCCCTTTGGTTTAGGGAACTATGCCAATCCTGGTGTGTGAAACAAATTTTGTTTGTTTTTTTCCCCTTTGCTCCAGGCGGTCGTGGCTTTCAGCCCCACTGGATGGACCTGGACCAAGGCCATGGCCCAGAACGCGCCGCTCGGGCCTGGATTTTCGGGTTGCTTCGGGAGTCGGGTGGATCGGTTTGGGTTGGATCTTCCAAATTGGGTTTTGGGATTTATACTTTTTTTGGTTTGGTTTTGGAATTGGTGTTGGTTGATTGGTTTGCATTGGTTTGGGTTGGATCTTGCTACTTTGGAATTGGGGACTGAAAGTCCAGTACTTCTTGCCAGTTTGGAATTGGGTTGTTCGTAGGCTGTTTTTCCCTGGTTCTTGTGTGGGGGTGGGGGGCTTCCGGTTGTTTTTGCTCCGACGTTGTGTGGGGGGTCGGGTGAAGGTTTCCTTTCTTAGCGGGGGGTGGGGGGGGAAATCTTTTTGGGTTGCTGAATTATGAGCCTTGGGTGACCCAATGGGTTCTAAAAACGGGTTTCTGATTTAGCTCGGGACACTCGGATATGGTAGCATCAAGGAACACATTTGTTGGAGCCCAACGGGTCACCAAATTGGGGGAGCCAGGCTTAGACGGGGAGCCTTGGGTTGCCCAATCACTGCCAACATCATTAGACACTGCTCTACCCTCAAGGGGGGAGAGGCCACATGGAGGGGATTTTCAGGGCCTCTGGGATGTCCGGAAATGCAGGCATAAAGGCATTTCACATTTCTTCTCCATCTCTTTCTTCTTGGCATTTCATTCTTAACATTGGAAATGCCACCATTCATCACGCTCTCATTCACTCACTAATCCTCTCATCACCCATCTCTCCATTTCCACTCCTCTCTTCCTCCCTTTCACCTCTGTATCCAGGATGTGATTCAGAGGTGAGAAAGGGAGAGAGTGAGTGAGGGATGGGTTTCCTTCGCCCTTTCTCCGCTCGTTAAGTCGCTTGGAAGCGTCTGTATCCTTGGGACACAAGACCCTGAGAACTTGGATGAAGAAGTCAAGCCACATTGAGGGGGTCGGATTGTCCGGGATGGTTTGATTGTCAGGCCCAGATGGGCAAGGTGTCAACACAGAGTCGAGAAGGCCGCCCCAAAGATGGCGGCGCTTGCTCCTCTGTGTTGTTCCATTCAAAAACCTCTTGCAAAGGGTACCCTCAAGAAAACAACATGCCCACGCGGTCTTCTTCTTTTTTTTGTGGGAGCCGCCCCACGTTGCTACGGAAACCCTCGGCCATTGAGCTGTTTTTCCACACGGCCGGGCAACTCGGAAGGTCGGACATGTATGGACTCATGTGTGAACCTATGGGAATCTAGTTTGGTTGTAGGATGTTCCGAAATTGGACCTGGACGGTTTTGTGGAGGTGCTTGAAAGGGAAGCCAAAAGATAAATGAACCACTTGGAAAGCTCGCTTGTTTTAGGAAAGGCCCAGTCGTCTAAACGTGTTTCAGTAGATTGGAATTATGCCTTGACACCCGGCGGCACGCTTCGGTTGCTGAATAGGGTTCACAGCGTTGCAACCCCGTCCTGAACGCTCGGTTTCCCGTGTTTCCCCCAAAAAAAGATGCCTGAGGCCCTGTTAGGTTTGAGAAGCGTGTAGTCTTCAACACTGAGAACCACAACTATTGTGGACGGACGGACCCCGTTTTGCACCACCTAAGAAAAGCCATGGTTGACACCATTGTTGGTTGGCAGCTCCACTGGAATGGAATCAGAAACCAGAAGCCAGGCCTTCTTAGGTGCGAAAGATCCACAGTAGGTCTTAGGAGGGGGGTTTGGACTCCGTCAGATTTGCTGAGGTGTGCTGGGTGCCGTTGCTGGATGGAGAACGAGGGGCGTACGCGGGTCTACAGCGTACCTTATAGCCGCTGGCCCTGTTGATGGAATCGGTTGGTCCCCAAAAAAGCTTTCCTTTAACAGGCTTTCCGAGCCATTTCTTTTTTTGGCCACCAGTACATTGATCGACTTTGACCTGGGGACATCCAATGACCCCTGTGAAACACCTTGAGCATCATCCAATAGGGGCCTTTTGAGGCACAGGCTAGGTCGGGGTGGTTTGAGATCTCGCTGCGAGTCTAAATTTCAATCCAGGAGTTATCACTTGGTGAATGGGGAGGGCCTTTTCACGCGCGATCTGTTGTTGAGGGAATCCCGATTTTCCAGTTTCCTATCAGCCTTGCTTAGCTTTGAAATTCCTTTGGTTAGGCTTGGCTTCAACGGAAGCAAAAGGGACTCCGGCTTACGTTTGTGTTTTTGGGGCAGCATTGAGGCCGCTACAGCCAACGTTGGCTGGTTCTGGGTTTCGCGTTCAGCTGGGGAGTAGCCTTCGAATTAGGAGACACATCCTTCAGGTGAGCACTCCTCGTATGAGGAGCTGCTGGCTTTGGTGAATGGCCTGCGCCCCAAACGCCTCATCCCCACGGTGAACTCTGTGCCCTGGCTTTAGCGTCTCTCGCTTGGCGTGCGAAGAGAGCAAGCGGGGCCCCGGCGGTAAGTCATCCCGTTTGGGCACCAGGCTCCATATCATGCCTGCTAAGCTTGGTATGTTTGACGGGGAGCTCATACCGGGCAAGCGCGGGGTACGCCAATGTGGGGGAACAGGAAGTCGTTATCAGAGAGTGTTCAACCGCTTGACATGGTCCAAATCCATGGTCCACAGATGTCGAAGGGTCCGCAAGGGTACTGGCATGCAGGGAGTGCTACAGGTGGTCACGGATTAGTGAGGGAACTGAGGCTGTCATTCTAAGAGTGGTTCCCGTTGAGTTTTTAGGGAGCATTGAATTAGTCTTAGTTTCTCAGGTGGGCCAGCATAGAGATGGTGAACTGTAGGAGCGAGTTTTGCCCAGGGCCTGCATGTTGTGTATTTTTAGGGTGCCCTCGACAGTCCGTGGTCAGCTGTAGCTGTCGCTGTCCGCCGCATAGCTTTGGGGGGGTGTTGCTCTGCCATGATTGATCCGGGATGTGGAACCACCTCTCTGGACTCTGAACACACGTTGATTCTGTCGGACATGGTGGGGTTATCCCGGTATCCCCATGGAGCGGCAGGCGTACAGAGCGTTGGCATGTGTGGTTTGGTCACAGGAGACGAGGGAGAGCAAGGAGCGTATGATGGCACCCTTCCTGGAGTTGCTGGATCTGAAGGGCGACCGTGCATCTTGGCAGCGGAGTCCTCAAAGAAGCGGGTGACCCTTTTGCCAACAGAAAACCACGGAAAACAACCATTTGGAAAGCCCGCCAGCAAACTTGGCCAGATCCACCGGCGAAGATGGAGATCGGGGATGTTGATCCCGACTGCGAGAAAGAAACAAACGGATCGGGATGCCACATGGGTGTGGCTCCAAATTAAACAGGAGGGGTTACGCAGGTTTTGGTCCATGCTTCCACTTGCCAGGGTTCCATTTACCAGTTTTTTGAGCCACAGCCACAGGTGCCATTGTGAAAGCTCCAGTTTTCCTGGCTTGCGGGGATGGCCATCGACCCATGAGAAAAAACCTGTACGGAATTGGATTCAATTCATGTGCATTGGGTCACACACCCCAAACAAAAAAAAAGGCTGGTATGACAGCTCTCAAATGTACTTGGGTCCCCTTTTAACCACCATGCTGGAAGATGTCTTTCTACGGTGCTTCTTCAAATCTCTGCGAGGAGCGTATGGATCACTACCTCTATGGCAGCTCCAGTTCCAGTTGCAAGCTGGAGGCCAGAGCCGGCATCCCTCCAGTGAATTGGGCCCTGGGAAGCCCCCCCCATTTTGGCCCCCATTTTGGGCCAAATGCATGGAGCAGGCCTCGTTCAGGTGGGAATGTTGCGGCCTTGGGTGAAGAACACAGTCCAAAGAAGAAGACATGGATGTGCACCAAAATCAGGGGACCCCGATTTAAGAGCAGACGCCAGGCTGAGGACTCTTTTGTGGACGTGCTCTCCCTCAGTACCGCGTGCAAAGCAGAAGTGCTGAGGAGGGACTGTGGGGCAGCTTGCTGCGAAGTATGTCTCAAACTTAGGCTCCCTTTTTGGACGTGCCAAGGCGACGTGACACCGCCATGGGTCGCAGCTAACTCCCAACAAACCAGAAGAACCACATGAGCTTTCAGGGAGCTCCACGATTATTTTTGAATTTACTAGCTCGGATTGGGTTAAGAAAGGTAGCTGATCAGCTCAGTTGGGGCGGACGTCGGTTTTTTGGGGTTTGTGATGCATTTGGTTTGCTAGGATTCACTTGAGTCACCTGAATCAGACCCTTGATCTCAGTCTCGTGCTCGGTCTTTAGGACGCCTTCGGCCCCGTCGAAGCCTGCGCCGAAGCTTTGGCGGGGCTTTCGGCTGGCACGTCAGCCCAGGCGCTCAACGCACACGCGCTGGGGGGGTGGCCGGCCTAGCATGCTCGGAGGTGTAGTCTTGGAATCTGAGCCCAATGACTTTCATTAATCAAAGGGCAAGAGGAAGCCAGCTACATATGGCCTCCTTCGGATTGCACGCTATGACTGTTTCTGTTGCAATCTGCGAGCCGCCTAAGTTTCACAGCCGACTACACTCGAAGCGTCTCTAAGTCAAGCTTCCCAGAAGCAGTTGTAAGTTTTGTGCCAAACCACAGCATTCAAACCAAAGTGGCGCATATTGCCTTCTTTCCCATTGGCCCATCAGTTTCCTTTTAAGACGTGAGCCATCGCCTTTCGTGGGGTGATGTTGCAGGGCGCAGACAAGGAACCTTGCAACGAGGCAACCACGCAACCACGCAACCACGCGAGGCAACCACGCAACCACGCAACCACGCAGCCACGCAACGCGGCAACCAGGCAACCACGCCGCAGCCGCAGCCTGCCATTTGCGGGAAGGTTTTGGGCAGATCCGCCCCCACGCGGCTGTTGGGGGCCTGTTGGGGGCGCATGTGCTCCTCGCCCTCGAGCCACGCGGCGTCCATGCGCTCCAGCGCGCGCCGCAGCGTCGCCGCGTCCAACGTGGCCCGCGCGGAGATGCCCAACACAATGTGGTCCCAGCGGCAGACGCCCAGGTCCAGCATCGCGGCCAGCGAAACCTTCGGGTACAGCCGGGCCCACGTACGGCAACAGATTCAGGCAGGACTGCCTCCCGTCCGCCGGGCACAGGATGGGCAGGGGGAAGGGGGCGTTGGCCAGCCCGTTGCGCCTGCAGCGCACCACGTCCACGCCGACGTACAGCGCATCCTTCTTGCACGTCTGCGCCTCAAAAACCAGAGGGGGCAGCTTGGGGCTCGTTGGGACCGTTGGGACTCTCCGACCCTTGAGGCCAAAGGCCGTGGATTTGGACTCCGAGGAGCGGCAGTTTGCTCTTTTTTTTTTTTTTTGGGGGGGTGGGCGAGAGGGGCGTTTTCGGCATAAAGTAGGGGGCTCCACTTGACGATGTCCACGATTTGGTTGGGGAGCCCAAATGGGAGCTTCTTCATAGATTTCGTCCGACCGTTCCGCTTTCGGCGCAGTGCAGCCCCAAAAAAATCACCACGCCAGGCTCTTTTAGTTTTTAGCAACTTTGATACCAACTCTAGTTTTTGCCAAGGATTTGTCATTTTGATACCAACTTTTTGGCGTTCCAAGGAGAAGCCCAGCAAACCCAGCGCGACACCTTGCCAGGACTCCACCACGGCGGGAGGCTCCTCCAGCTCTTCCCCCAAGGTGTCTCGGTGCAGTCGGTGGGGGTCTGTGGCCGTAAACATGGCGCTGAAATGCAAACCCGTTGTTATGTAAACATAGTACACATATGTGTTGCATCTATCTACTGATTGATGCATAGGTAGTGAGATAGCTAAATTGGATGGATTCTGAAGGGGTAGACATATACATGCACACACACACACACACACACACACACACACACACACACACACACACACACACACACACACACACACACACACACACACACACACACACACACACACACACACACACACACACACACACACACACACACACACACACACACACACACACACACACACACACACACACACACACACACACACACACACACACACACACACACACACACACACACACACACACACACACACACACACACACACACACACACACACACACACACACACACACACACACACACACACACACACACACACACACACACACACACACACACACACACACACACACACACACACACACACACACACACACACACACACACACACACACACACACACACACACACACACACACACACACACACACACACACACACACACACACACACACACACACACACACACACACACACACACACACACACACACACACACACACACACACACACACACACACACACACACACACACACACACACACACACACACACACACACACACACACACACACACACACACACACACACACACACACACACACACACACACACACACACACACACACACACACACACACACACACACACACACACACACACACACACACACACACACACACACACACACACACACACACACACACACACACACACACACACACACACACACACACACACACACACACACACACACACACACACACACACACACACACACACACACACACACACACACACACACACACACACACACACACACACACACACACACACACACACACACACACACACACACACACACACACACACACACACACACACACACACACACACACACACACACACACACACACACACACACACACACACACACACACACACACACACACACACACACACACACACGCGTACGCACATATGCTCATGTATACAAAAAAAGTACATTTACACATGCACACACATAGTCTTCGTACAGCAACACCGTACATTTATTTTAAACAACAAGCATCACTTTCATTGATATGATATGTTCTGTCGGCCTGAGCGCAAGGCAAGAGGTTCCCAACTAATGGTCGGGCATCGAGCGGCAAGCCAATTGCCTGGTGGATTCCACTTTTGCAGCGTTCGGGAAAAGTTCCCCGGTCAAATTAGCCAAAGGGCTTACTTTCCCATAACTGGGCTGAGCAAATGGCAGCGTTGAACTCGGTGTCATTCAGTCCTTATGCCTTCAGCCGCTGAGTTCTTCAGCTCTCGCGCCTTGTGGGGTATTCCAAAAAGTCATAGTCTGATTCTGCTTCACATTTATATTGACAGAGTCTAAGTTAGAACGTCATTTGGCGGGTCCGTGTTCTAGAATAATCGCGGTTAGAGCATATCGCGGTTAGAGCATATTTGAGCGTGCGCGAAACTTCTCTGGGATTTTTTGTTTTAGAACTTCGAGCATCAACAATAGTGGATCTTAAAGTTCTCCAAGTTGGAACATCAACAATGGCCAACTATATTCGTGTGACTTTGTTTGGGCTCAGTCCAAAGCCTCCGAAGCGGCACAATTTTGGCGAACCAAATGTCGCATGCGGTGATTTGGGGGGTTTGCTTCCGTACCATGGCTGAGCAATGCGTTTCTTCTGTGGCGGTGATTTGCGTTTCATGGTGGTCTCGCAACATGACGGCTTTGTTTGCAACAGATGGCAAACCGGACGCGCATCTGCCCATGTTCTATTTGTGAGCCCCGTTAATTGAATCAGGAAGACACCACATGCTTTTCCATAAATTTCCATTCCCGTGACGTTCTAAGGCACGTTTGGTGAATTGCGATGTTCTAACTTAATGTCCGTCAGCATCGTCTACCTCAAGCAAATTAAACGAGTTTTGGAGGTGACCCCTGTTAAAGCATCATTGCGACCAGGGAAACTCACTTTAGGCCCGCGAAGCAGGTGCCAATCGCTATTCGCTTTTTCACTTGTTTTCCTGCGCGAACAAAGCCCACAAGATGGTGGCGTTGGAGCGCGGCGCCTTCACTTTGCTTTTGGGCTCCTGAGTGTGGTGCACTAGTTTGAAGGGAACACTTGGTTGCGGTAAAGGCAGAAAGAAGCCCAGCGGCCGCAAATCCCAGAGCTTAGGCAACTTGCCCCGCGCCGAGCAGCCTGGATGCGAGAACGGTCGCCGGGTTGAGGAATTGTTTCAATGGGTTGGACCTGTTGGACATCAGCACGGGGGTGTGCTTGTCCACCAAATATCTTTGAGGCCCATGGAAAGGATATTCTGTGGATGGAAAATCTGGTTTCTGATGATGTCCCTGTAAATGCCAGCCGACAATGGCCCAGGGTTTCAAAAAGTGGCACGAGATGGATTTCGCGACCATCAAATCATTTTTCAAGAGCTTGGAACTGGAAAGCCTCGGACCGGACGGAGGCAAGTAATTTTTGTTGGCATCTGTTTTCTAAAGAATAGTAAAAGCACACCAACGACAACCTTGTTTGACATGCTTTTTACATGGTGTTTGGCGGCTGAGTTGGGCAGAGAGAGCTGAGGCCAGCTGTCCGGAGCTCTGGCCAAGCGACGTTTGGTGGTGGACCTTGATTCAGAGGAGGTCCGGTAAAGGGATCCGTTCCGCGACCAAGGGGCCACAATGGGGCGTGGTTACTGGACGTGGTCATGAAGTGTCTTGCGTATGTTTGTTTTTGCTATCGTTTTTTTTTTTGGGGGGGGGGGGCTGCCTTGGGGGAAGCTTTTGTCTAAGGTCGGTGAGTCATTCTTCACCCAGACTATGTGCATGTATGAAGGTCATTGGAGCCACGCAAAGCCGCAGACACAACTCGAATGAGTGAGTGCCATACTTTCACAGGGCTGTGAATGAAGCGATTCTGTTTGGCTGCTGCAAAGGGTGGATGCCGACTTCCCGAGCCAGGCCGCCCCCGCCCCGAGCGCCGGGGCTTCCGCGGCGGAGTCGCCGGCCGCGGAGGAGTTGCCGACGGCGCTGGATGATCTGCGGTGCGTGGACCTGGATCTGCAGAAGAGGCCCGGGCAAGGGCCGATTCGCGAGAAGGTTCGAGTTGATCCGAAGGGTATGGGCCCACATGGGGTGACGCAAAAAGGGTCTCCTGCATGACAAAAAGTGCTCATTTCCCGTTTTGCGGGATACTGTAGGATTTAAGCCCTCCGCTTGGTTTCTCGAAAGGGATGCTCCTGGATTGAAGCCGGCAGAGGGGGAAACCATGTAGTCCAATCCCCAGTACGAAGTGCAACCTTCTGCCAGCATCTTGCTTCTCCTGGAAAAAGGGAAAGCGCAAAAAATGTTTCTTTCTCCGGCTCCATTGCCAGAGGTGGGGTTTCCTCTCTCTTCTTTTTTTTGATGCCTTGGGCCAAGAACTGTTGAATGAGGTTCCCTCTAGTTGGTTTAGCTTAAGGAGGGTTTCCCATCTACCCTCTGTGAATACCAAGGCTACCGAGTGAACGCCTGGTAGGTGCAACCCGTTTTCCCTGGAAACCATCGGCTCGGGGCAAAGCCCTTGCCGCCTCGTCCCGTCAGGCTGCTCCGCTTTTTCGAGTCGGCGAAGGCCCCGGAGGCCCAAGAGCCGCCCGTTTGTTTTTGGAGGCCGTGCTTTTTTTTGGGGGGTTTCCTCTAGTTAACAACTTCTTTTTTTCCTGGATGGAATGTGGGTGTCTGTATTTGCTTACCTGGGCTTCGACTGGGGCGAATCCTTTGTTGGTTTCCGTGATTTTCGACTTGCATCGACTTGTCGCACATCCGCTTTTAAGTCTTTGGGTTTCGGAACCTGCAGGTTAAGAATTTCAAATACACCTCAAAAGTGGTTTGTGGACATCCGCACCCGAATGATGTTCACCAAAGGGCGACCCCTCACAGCAAATAGCTACTGAACACTTGCCTGTTCACACAGAGCCGTTTTTTCTTTTTTTTTCTCCTTCTTTTTTTCCTGACTACTGCTTTCCAGTTGACACCTGCGCAGCCCACTGTGTGTGCGCACGCTTTGTTGCGGGCTAGCGACTGTGGTAGCTTCGAAGTACTTGCCGGCACATGTGACTTAGCAGTTCTTGACTTGGACCTGGAGAGAGAGGGAGAGAGGGAGGGAGGGAGGGAGGAGAGAGGGAGAGAGGGGGACGGAGGGAGGGAGGGAGGGAGAGAGAGAGAGAGAGGGGCCCCAGCTCAAATTCACACCCTGTTTTCTTTGCGAGGCTCCAAAGGCGGGCCTGAAGAAGCCGAAGCAGCCAAAATCAAAGGGCAAGGGCAAGGGCAAGTCCAAATCGGAATCCCAGGCGCGCATGTCGATGTGTCGACGGTCGAACAGGCGCCTGTCCCAGCCAAGTTACCCTTTTCTGGCGAGCTCGTAGCTCACACATGAAGCAGGATGCTTACTTGGGATCCTTGCTTGGATTGTGCAGGTTTGGAATATCTATCAAATTTGCAGACGGTGTGTGTTGGTTTTAGGGCACGCCTTATGGGGTTGGCTTGTAGGGAGAACCTGGTTGAGCTCCCCTATTTTGACTCATGCCCGGATAGTTTGGCCCAGGCATATTTGTGCTTTTGCAAGTGGCTGCTGTCATCCGTTTTCGCGCGCAGGCGCCGGTGCTCAAGCATTTGGGTGTAAGACCCAAAGAGGACGGCACGGAGAGTTCTGTGAGCCCGAACTGGAGCCAAGCAGGTGCTTTTGGTATCGGTTGCACTGGTTGCCTGCGAGTAAACCATGTTTGCTCGCATCAAACCCACAACCGCGACAACTGGGGGTGGGGGGGGTGGTGGGGTAGGGGGGATGGGGGGGAGATGTATGATGACGTATGTTCCGCCGCGTGTTCTGGCCCCGCAGGCATATCTACAGACCCGAGCGCCACATCTTTGTCGCTCTCCAACGGTAGCCAGGGGGCGCCAGTTGCATGCTTGCAGCCTATTTTTGGACGGCCGACGAACTGTTGTTTGAATTCACACTTGGGATCACTGGCGAAGTTGTAGCAGAATTGACCGAACCAGCTAGTTCGCGCCTTGCTGCATGAAAATGCTTTGAGCAAAATCATCAAATACAACGATGTCCACTTTCCCGCTCAAAAAACACTAAGCGACTGGCGCAACCGCGACTTTTTTTTTTGGGCTAGCGGACGTTTGACGCGTGTTTCTTTTTGCCGGCCCCAGCTTGTATCCTTCCGCGAGGAGCCCAAGCCGAAGAAGCGGCGCGCCGCGAAGCCTTCGGCGCGCACTGGGAGGGAGAAGCGGACGAAGACGGAGTCCACAGCGGCAGCTCCACAGCTTGAAAATGCATGGGCGGGGTCTCTTTCTTTGGGGTGGTTTATATCAGGCACCCACGAATTGGTGGTTTGGATTTGTGAAGGTAAATGGGAAACCACCCCCTTAACCAATAGGTTCCTGACGGGATTCAATTCTTATTTCCGGTGGATTTATGGTAGCAGATTTCCTTTCTGCGGTTTCCATGTTTTTCGTTGCTGGCTTCGTGGAGAATAGATCTGGGCGGTGAGGTGGTTGGTGATAGGATAGGTTCAGATTGGGATGCTTGGGAAGCAGAAGGGGGTGAAAATGGAGGTGGAATTAAGAACCACCGATGCAACTGGGGAACTCTGCTGTCAGGGTTGACTTGCCCCTTACGTAGGCACGTTCTGAGAGGCTGCCCATGCATTTTCTCAATTGGGCAATCTTGGTGTGGCCTGAACAAATGGTCGCAAAAGCTGGTTGGCTGCCTTATGGCTGTCCTGTGAGATTCATCCAAACCTTCCCCCCTTTTGGTTTCCACGTTTTTCGAGCGGCAAAACCCCAAACAAACTGAACCTTCTCGCGGAAGCCGCTTCCTGAGAATCCTTGGTCATTGTCAGACTGTACTCGCCTTGGCCTGTTGCCCTGGGCTTCATTTCCTCTTGTAAGCTGCGAAGAAGCGCAGGTTTGGCACGGACCACGTCAGTGGGGCCTTCGCAAAATGAAGCCCCCGCTCAACTTTTCGGGATCAGGTGCCTTTTGCCACTAGCAAGAGGCTAAACGTTTTGTGCAAGGGGTGTACTTGTAAACCAGGTATGTTTGCTTTTAGGTTGTTTCAGGTACCACTGTTGGCAACCAGGCAACGGTTTTACCTCGAGGCTTCCAGGAATGTTTCCACTCCAATAGCCACTAAGAAACCACAGAAAAGATAAGGACTCCTACTGTGGGTGGGCGCAAGTCTGCACCGGTTTGCAACCATGGGTTTACGCGGGAGTCATCATTCCAGGGTTTCTTGGGTGTTGCAAAATGGATTCTGTGGCTGGAACCTAGTTTCTTAGGTGGTGCGAAATGGATTCCGTCCACAGTACGTCAGTGGCTCGAACCTAGGACCCCAAGCAGCCCGGCGAGAAGCGCCCGGCGCGCTTCGTGCCCAAGCCCAGCGCACGTGTGCAGGAGGGTGCGACAAGAGTTGTGTGTGGGATGCAGCCAAACGATTCAGTTTGGCCATGATTATCTGACATTGTGGCAATCTTTCATCAGTTTCGCAAGTATTTTCAGGGATCAGTTTTTCCAGAAAACCGCCAAACCCAGAAAAACATCAGAAGGATGATTGAGCAGAAGGGCTAATCAAGCCACGCAATGTGGCCCACCTGAGAAATCTCAACTTGTTGCAGGTGCGGGATGCTCCGGACAATCGCAACGATCTGTCACAAATTGAAGATGTTTCTCCCTGGTCACGCATCCCTTGACACGGCTGGTTCGTGATTCATTTTGGTCTTCCTTCAAACCCGACCCCGAGAAAAAAGAAGAAGAAGCCAAAAAGCACATTACGACACATCCCCGAGCAAGGTCGGGCTCTTTCTTTTGAATGCTCGAGTTCTTGACTTTTTGAGACCTTGGGTTGCGACATCTTTGTAGTGAGCAATGAGTTCACGCGCTCCATGCAATTGGTGGCGCAGCTCCTATCTCCTTCAGGTGTGGTATCTCTATTGGAGCATGCGAAGTGTTTGGCTGCCCAAAACGATGGTTCACTTGCGTCGGGCCCCCCACCCCGGAAATTGACCAACAGGGGTTGATGAATCTGGGGTGAACATCACTGAGTGGTGGGTGTTTTGATAATTTTCCAACCCTTTTGTCCCTTTTCTTGTTGCGATCCTTCTTTGTTTTTGGGCGACCGCTACCCTCAAAAAGCCTCGAGGAGCGCATCGACCGCGCGTTTGGGCACCGGCTCTACTTCCTCGCCCGGGCGCCGGCGGAGGGCGGCGAGAAGCTGGCGCCGGGGGGGGGGAGCGGGTGGAGATGTGGCCATGGGTCAAAAGCCAGCACCCCCAGTGAACATCCCAAGCCCCACTAAAACAGACTAAAATGGGTGGTGCTCCTACCCTCAAATGCTACCATTGGTTTTGACCCACAGCCATGTGGCTGGCTGGTGACTCCCAAAGAGTTGTTCCTTTTTTCCTTTGTGTACCACCACCAGGAGACGGGGTATCGCCGTTTTTGGGGGACCTGGGTCTTGCTTTTGGTTTCCCTGCAGAGCCACCAGAAAAAGGGGCACCCATTTTCGCCAATTCTGGCGAGGACGTCCTGGGCAGCACTGGCAATGTGTACCACGTAGAGCTGCGGTCGCAGGGTAACGCCTGCTCCTGCCGCTGGGGCGGAGACACGAACATTGGTTGCCTTCCCCTTTTTTCTGAGAATCCCCCCCCAACCCAACATCTCAAGTGGGGCCAGGCTGAAGAGCCGGGATTCTGCCAAAGGATGTGATGTATGCAAGGGGGGGGGGGCGTGGTAATGAAGGATCTGATGTGTATAAGCAGGCCCTTGCTTTTCCCAGTCGGGATCCCACATTTTTGGATGTCCACGGCATTCGCCTGGCTTCCTCTGACTACTCCTTTTGCCACGAACGATTCTCGGAATTAGAGGCGCGGGGTGATTTCCGGATTTCCATTTGCGGCCTTCCCCCCAAAAAAGAAATGAAAAACAACCCTTGGATCCCATTTCTGGCGATGTCTCCCGGTGTTTCAGCCAAACCAGCTTGGACCACCCGCCGTCTCTGGGTCTCCGATCCGGCTCCGGTCTGGCCTTTTCTGGGAAGCTTCAGGCCTGGATTTCGCCAAGGGCGGGGGCGTGTGCAAGCACCTGCTCTTCGTCATGCTGCGGGCGCCTTTCCGGGCTTTGTGCGGTGGAAGGCTTTTTTTTTCTTCTTCCCCTTTTTCCAGCCCAAAAACGGTATCCTCACACAGGGCCACCCACATATAAGGGGGGTTCAGGGAACAAGGGGTGTGATGGAGCGAGCCCAAGTTTGATGATTTTTCCATGTCGGACCAGCCATAAGTCCCCATGTGAATGATGTACAAACGGTCATCATATCAAGCTTCATATCCATCTCAGGCCCGTGCTTTGTCAGACCCCCCCCCCAGTTTGTGGTCTAGATCAGTTCGGGAGTTTGAGTGGGAAGCTCCCTTTGAACACCTGAGATCTAAGCGCCAAACCATACGCTACAACGTTAACCCCGGATTAAACGCCTGGTTGCTTTTGATTGGGGGGTGTCCCCTTCAGTGGAGATTCGAATCACTTTTGGAGGGAACACCCCCCCATAGTACTGGGACGGGTTGATTCAACATGAAGCCCGGGGAAAAAGCCACGAAACCCCGCCAAACCATACGCGAGCGGTCAGGTGCTGAAGCTGGCCCGTGACGACCACCGGGTGTGGCAAAGTGGGCTCACGGAATCGGAGCCGCCGTCCACAGGGTCCCCTTAAAGTTTCCACGGGCTCCCAGGTCTTATAAGTCCCCCCAGAGGCCCAGTGCTGCCTGTGTCACTTTAATCTTGTTTGCCTCTTTGCACTGTTCAGTTTCAATGGGTGAGAAAAGCGCCAGGTCATAGACCCATAATGTTGACCCCAGATGCAGAAACCAATCCAACCAACAGGCGGGCTGTACCCCGTCCAAAGGTGGTCAAATCCCCACTAGACTAGCACCCCGGACCACCCCCCCTATGAATGCGCAGGTTTTTTTAAATCCAGGGTCGTCATCATGACATATAGTGTGGCTTGGGCCCAGTTGTTCAGCACCCTTAAATTCGCTTTGTGTTTTTGTTGGGTTCCCACTACGGATGGGTGTGTGTGTGTGTGTAGCGCGGGTCCGGGCCCAACGTTTCAGGTTTGGTCATGCAAGAGTTCATTTGGTCATTTGGAAGGGACATGGAACTCACTAAATCAATCAGGGGACTCAAATGTTGGACCTCATTCAATTTTTTAATGTAACCCCCCGCTCTGATCAGTGCAAAGGGTCATTCTTAGCAATTGAGGTACATAGGGCAGAGGGTGAACGTTCTTCAATGTTGGTATTGAAGAAGGGTCAACCCCGCCCAATCCCAACTAATGTTGACCCCATATTAATCAACCCCAGTTTATTGACAAGGGGGTGTCCTTGGTTTTAGTGGGGAATCAGACCAACCACTTTGGAGGGGGTCAGCATTCATAGCGAAGGCTCCTTGTTGCTTGACTGCTACTGGGTTGGATCTTTAGGCTTTATCTTTTTGGGAAATCAAGAGGCTTTCCACGAACCCCCCTAACAGGTTAAACACTTTTGCCGGGGGCTCGTTGCAGCAACCAACCTTAAAAAAAAGATGAGCTTCCTTTTTCACCCCAAAAAATGGCATCAACCAACATGGAGCTTGCACTGCATCCCAAGTTGTGGTCGCCAACTCACTCGCTGGGGGTCAGCATTAGCGAAGGTTCCTGGTGGGTTCCATTTTTTCCTTGTGGGGGCGGCCACAGGAGCTGCAGCCGCTCCTGTCCGCGCTGCGCAGCTCCGACTTCCAAGGGGTGCAGGCCAACTTTCCTGGGCGGGGGGTTTGAGCGCCCGGAAGTCGGGGGTGCAAGTAACGGCTACGGAGGCTTCCTTTCGTGACTTGTTTGCTTGTGTGTTTGCTTGTTTCGTTTGTGTTGTTTGTATTGTTTGTTTGGTTTGGTTTGGTTTTGTGATGGTTTTGTTTGGTCTATATTGTTTGTTTGGTTTCCTTTTGCTTTAGTTTGTTTTGGTTTGGTTTGTTTGTTGTTTTGCCCTGTTTTGCTTGCCTTGCTTGTCGGTTTTGGTTTTGGCTTTTGGTTTTGGTGCTTGTGTTGGTGTTTGTTGTGTTGGTTTTGGTTTTGGCTAGGCTTGGTTTGCATTGGTTGTTTCTTTGCTTCATTGTTTCTTTGATTCTTTGTTTCTTTGTTTGTTTGTTTGTTTGTTTGTCTGTTTGTTTGTTTGTTTGTTTGCTTGCTTGCTTGTTTGTTTGTTTGTTTGTTTGTTTGTTTGTTTGTTTGTTTGTTTGTTTGTTTGTTGCTTCATTGATTGATTGATTGGCTGATTGGTTGCTTGGTTGGTTGGTTGGTTGGTTGGTTGGTTGGTTGGTTGGTCGGTCGATGGATCGATGGATCGATGGATCGATGGATCGATGGATCGATGGATCGATGGATCGGTGGATCGATGGATTTGATTGATTGATTGATTGATTGATTGATTGATTGATTGATTGCTTGCTTGCTTGCTTGCTTGCTTGCTTGCTTGCTTGATTGATTGATTGATTGATTGATTGATTGAATTGAATTGAATTGATTTGATTTGATTTGATTTGATTTGATTTATTGATTTGATTTGATTTGATTTGATTTGATTTGATTTGATTTGATTTGATTGATTGATTTGATTGATTGATTGATTGATTGATTGATTGATTGATTGATTGATTGATTGATTGATTGATTGATTGATTGGTTTGTTGGCTGGTTGCTTGTTTGATTGGTTGTTGTTTGCTTCTTGTTTTGCTTCGTTTTGCTTGCCTGCTTTTTATTTTTGTTTCTTTTATTTCTTTCATTTCTTTGCTTGATTGTTTGTTTGTTTGTTTGTTTGTTTGTTTGTCTATTTGTTTGTCTGTCTGTCTGTCTGTCTGTCTGTCTGTCTGTCTCTCTGTCTCTCTGTCTTTCTGTCTTGCTTGCTTGCTTGCCTGCTTGTTGGTTTGTTTGTTGTGGAGTGGCAACCCCAGATGGCTTCACTTTGTGGTTTTTGCCTAAGGGGGCTCAGCTGCCGGAATTGCCTCGCGCGCCAGGCTGACGCCACTGTGATGAGAGGCTATCAGCAGGCCGGAGTTCTGATTGGTAGCTCCGGGGTGTTCAAAATATAGCATCAAGTCCTTATTTCAGATGGTATTGGTTTCAAAGGTGTCCCACTACACCCACTGCGCCCATCGTGGACAACCCAGTTTGCGCGCTGCACTTTTGCATCCGCGCAATTGCCTGGGGCCTACGACGCAGCCAGCTCGGGAGCTGTGAATGTCACCCCGTGCTCCTATGCATGTTGACTGGAAGCATGAAGCGCCCGGGTCACGAGATCTTCTTGCTGCATCAACAAGTTTGGACAGAGAAGCACCGCCACAACCTCTGAACAAGACGCCACACGACAAATAACATCAAGCAATGCCAGCACCAACCCCAACCAAAGCAAACAAGACATCAAGGTCCAGTTCATTGGGTGCACTTCATGTTTTTTTGATTTTGGAAGGCCACCTATTTGCGCTTTTCAACGCGCGCCCGCGGGTCCACCGGGTAGGCCGCGGGCGGCGGCGGAGGCGCCGCCCGGCAGCCGCTTCCGGCGGACTGCCCCATCTGCTTCGAGGAGATCTTGTCGGAGAGCGGGGCGCGGGGCCCCGGACGGTTTGGGGGCAAAAGCCTGGGAAACGTGCCAGCCCAAAACGGACGTCGGGAGATGGGCACAAGACGATTTGGCCGTGGTGGTCAAAACCAATGGCAGCATTTCGGGGTAGGTGCACCACCCATTTGAGAACCTATTTTAGTGGGGATTGGGATGTTCACTGGGGTGTACGGGCTTTTGACTCATGGCCACATGCGGCCGTTTTTTTTTTTTTTTTTTTTTTTTTTTTTTTTTTAAGGCGCCTTTGGAAGGATGGCGAAAGGGAAGTCAGAGGGACACTAGCATTTTTTGGAGACACACACACTCAAAATAGGCATCTAACTTCAAAATTGGCCCAAAAGGTGATCACCGAAAGGGGAAAAGGCAAAGTGTGCGGGTCCCAATGTGAAGCATCCCTACAAAGCAACACGGGTGTGTACCTTGATGGACCCTCATGTGGATGTGTGTCTCGAAGGTTGCTTTGGTCACACAATGCAGCCCCGCCTCAACCCGCTGGGTGGGTGCTTTCAGGTCAACCACCCTCACCAAACAGTTTTTTTTCCCCGCTGCGCAGGCTTGCAAACAGTTGAAGGAGCTAGGCACTGCCACCATTTGTGTTTGCTCTTTCTTTCCTTCTTTCCGTTCGAACATCTTCCCCCTTAAACACCTGCGTTTTCGGCCTGTTGTTTGCCTGCCGTGGCATGGGACACGTTAGTGGACGCGTCGCACATGTTCCGGTCTTTCTGCTTTTGTACATGGTTTGAGAGGGTCGGGCTTTGCTGTCTGCCATCAACAACTAAGGGTCCATGCCCAGGCTTGCGGCTCTTGTTTAAACCAATTTCCCCAGGTTCCCCTTAAGGCGGTCTTTTTTTTCCGCTCCGAGGCCAGCGATTTCTGCCGGGTGTGCGGCCACAACCTCCACACCGACTGCCAGCGGCGTTGGGCCGCCTCCGGGAATTGCGGCGACACCTGCCCGCCGCCCGGCGTGGTTTGCTTTGTTGGCCGCCAGGCATGGCGAGGCGGGCGTCTTCCTCTTGACCCCAGAAAGAATCTCCAGTTGGAACAGGCGCTTTGAGAGTCGGCCAGAAGGCGTGGGGGGCGGGGGGCGGGGGGGGGGTGGAGTTGGGTCTTGTTTTTTTTTGAGGGGCAGGCTTTAGTACATTTGCTGGCCAATTTTTGTGCAAAAGAGCAAGGGAGCAGGAGCTTTTTTCTAAAAGCTCCGATTTTACCCCACAGTGGATGGCAAACGAGCCTGCTCGGGGATCTTATCCGAGGATGTGCCGCAGCCCCTGGAGCCTCCCGGCCAGTAGCTCCGTTGGGGCGTTGTCCATAGGTCCTGTGGTCACCCTGGGTTTGCAGGGCAAATGGGAAGTCACCCCCGGAACAGCGCTCCTAAGCTGGTGGTTCCAAACCGCCGACTAAAGTGAAAAAGTTGGTATGGGGAGGTGGCCATTGGGTTGACTGAAGAAGGAGGGGAGGGCGAGATAGAGCTGGGCTGGGGGCGTCATGATCCCCCCTGAAAGCTTCTCAGAGACCTTCGGTCGCCTGAAAAGGTTCTAAGAGCATTTGCGTGCTGTGAATCGCAGCTGCTGGTTCGCCATGCGGGAAAGGTGCATTGAGATGGTGCATTGTTAGCCCAGGGCACGGGGTGGCTTGTTTTTCCTCGCGTTCACCAAGCCCTGTTCGCCGTATGTGGGAAGCGTTGTCAATGTCAGCAGTTCGGTGTGAATTAAGTTGTGCTGAGGCGCCCAGCAGGCTACAGAGGCGCACATCGCGGCGAAGGGCTGTTTGCTCAGCCTTGGTAATTAATTTGAACTTCAAATTCTCCTCTTGGGCCCTGATTGGGCCGTTGTAGGTAATTTCTTTTGCCCACTTTTTTGTGTGTCCCCTTCTTCGCAACGTTATTTTTTTTTGGCGTTGCTGGAGTTGAGAAGGGCCCAGGCACCTGCCCGAACCCTTGCCTTTTAGCGCCTTTTTTTTTTTTGGGGGGGGGGGTTTTCCAACCCCTAAAATGATGAGTTTCCTTTTGCAAAAAAACAAAACACATCAACCAACATGGAGCTTGCACTAAATCCCAAGTTGCAAGCCAACTCCCTCGCCGGGGCCTCCCCCCAAACTCGTGCTCATTCGGAATTCCTGGTGATTGAAAGGGAGGCCAAGTTGGCCTCCGCCAGAAGGTCGTCATTCTACAGAGACCCGCCGCAGAAAACTTTCCCCTTGAAACGGCCAAAAGGCCATTTTGCAGAGACCCGCCCCTGATTTTTCCCCCTTTTTAACTAAAGTTGGGACCTAAGCCTTGGCGAACTTTGCATGTGGCCAGGGGCCGATGAACCTGGCGGCATTCTCCTCGGAGCACCGGGAGGCCGCCGTTTTTTGGAAGTCGGCGTTGGGGGAGTCGTTTTTGGGCGCCGGGCTTTTGCGAGGGCCCATGGAAAACCCAAGAAAAACCCAAGAAAAACCAATGGGAAACCCATGAAGAAACCAACCAAAAACTTAGGGCAAACCAAGGGAAGCCAAAGAGACAGGTCATGTTTTTCTTTTATCTGTTTTAAGGGAAAGAAAGGGAACGCAGATGAAGCAACCCCCGATTTGTTCCATGTTGACCGCAAGTTGAGATTAATACTAATACGGGGTTGACATCATTATCCCAATGATTCGGGTAGATGAAGCTTAGTAATTAGGGGGCTCTGGGTATCTGCCCTTTTTGATTCTTTCGCACTGTTTTGGGCCTGGCTGAAAGCCAGGCATTGATTATGACCCACATTTCTCGGCGCGCATGAGTCTTTGCAAAGACCAGCGGCACAAATCCAGAAGGGCAGGCCATGTGCGTGAACGGTTGCGAACACCCTAGTGAGTTCCTGCACAAATGGGGTGAGCACCCAAACGGCACCCTTCTTGTTCAGAGTGTTGATTCTTTTTGACTCTGCAAGTCGCTTCGTCCGTGCGCGGGCGTCAGGATCCCTCCTACCCAAGGAAAAGAGTCTCGACAATTGTCTGGGTTTCTTTAAGTATGGGGAGGACTTCGCTTTGGTGGGTGCGGCCTTTTAATGGGACATGGCACGTTGGCTCCATCCCTTCTTTCGGCTCACAGGGCAATGGCGGGCAGAGGATTTGATTGGAGGGCGCCTAGGCCGGAGGCCGTGCCATTCACGCCTTTGGCAACCGTCCCCCGCTTGCCAGAGGAGCAGCTGTCGGAGGAGTTTTGGACGTGTGTGTGCAGTACTTACGCTGGCCAAGATTTGGAGCACGACCGTGCCTTGCGATTAGGCTGGCTTGGGCAGCTTGATCCAACAACTCTCCGTTTCCCGCAAGTGGAGCCTGGGCAGCTTGATCCCACAACTCTCCATCTCCCGCAGGTGGAGACCGGGCAGCTTGACCCCACAACTCTCCATTTCTCGCAGGTGGAGACCGGGCAGCTTGATCCCACACTTCTCCATTTCTCGCAGGTGGAGCCTGGGCAGCTTGACCCCACAACTCTCCATTTCCCGCAGGTGGAGCCTGGGCAGCTTGATCCCACAACTCTCCATCAGGTGGAGACCGGGCAGCTTGATCCCACAACTCTCCATTTCCCGAAGGTGGAGACCGGGCAGCTTGATCCAACAACTCTCCATTTCCCGCAGGTGGAGACCGGGCAGCTTGATCCAACAACTCTCCATTTCGCGCAGGTGGAGACCGGGCAGCTTGACCCCACAACTCTCCATTTCCCGCAGGTGGAGACCGGGCAGCTTGATCCAACAACTCTCCATTTCGCGCAGGTGGAGACCGGGCAGCTTGACCCCACAACTCTCCATTTCCCGCAGGTGGAGACCGGGCAGCTTGATCCAACAACTCTCCATTTCGCGCAGGTGGAGACCGGGCAGCTTGACCCCACAACTCTCCATTTCCCGCAGGTGGAGACCGGGCAGCTTGATCCAACAACTCTCCATTTCGCGCAGGTGGAGACCGGGCAGCTTGACCCCACAACTCTCCATTTCCCGCAGGTGGAGACCGGGCAGCTTGATCCAACAACTCTCCATTTCCCGCAGGTGGAGACCGGGCAGCTTGACCCCACAACTCTCCATTTCGCGCAGGTGGAGACCGGGCAGCTTGACCCCACAACTCTCCATTTCCCGCAGGTGGAGACCGGGCAGCTTGATCCCACAACTCTCCATTTCCCGAAGGTGGAGACCTGGCAGCTTGATCCCGCAACTTGGGGTCAGGCGTCCCCCTCCGGGCATCGGAGCCACGACTCCAGGTATGAGGATGATGTGTTGCGAGGCGGGGACGGTGGATTCGCCAGGGGTGTTTCTTGTCAAATTAAAACTGGTGGACTGGAGGTTTGGTGGAGCTGTCAAAAGGGAAGCCATCCGTTGCTTTTCGGGCGCTTGGACCCCCAACAGGCTTCCCCCTTGGTTCCCTTTGAAAGTGCTCCAGCAAAGGGCCCATGGGTTCATGAATAGGAGGAGTGGCGGGTCCCATCCATGCGTTAGGCCAGCACGTCTCCCCAAACACGGCCAAAGCGATCATGAGCAAAGAGGCGCGGATGTGCATGTGCTGGACATGCGAGATCCGAACTCCGAACCCTTTGAAAAATAGTAATTGCAGGACAGGAAGATTTTCATGGTTTGAATTGCATTCTTTTGTGGAGAGCGACTGACTGCGAGAGTGAATTCACCACCTTTAGAACCTATTTTAGTGGGGATTGGGATGTTGTCTGGGGGTCGATTTGGATTTTGACCCATGGCCACATGTCACATCGCGATTTCGCGAGCTGCCCCGAGGCCACGAAGCATCGGGGAAGGCTTCTAGCGTGGTTTGGCGAGCAGATGGGTCCGTAGAGTGGAAAAAGCGCGCTGGCGCGCGGAAGCGGGTTGGTTGCAGCCCCTGTTTTGAGCAGGCTCATCTGGTTTCGAGACTGGGATTTCTCAGTTCCAGTTGGCGCATGATCGAAATTTGCCTGGGAGCTTCTCAATCTGGTGGCCGGGCTTCCTGGTCCGTAAGGGAAACTAGAAAGAAACCAGCTGTTTCAGGGGAGCATTTTTAGAACCCCCCCCACATGACAGCAAGCCGTGGTTTCTTTCACCTGCGGTGCCATAGCCACAGGCCAACTCCACAGATCAGTGGATTCCACCGTTTCAGCAACCCTTGTTTCATGGCTTCCCTAGTTACAATGAGTCAAACCCGACGGGTTCCAATGTTTCTTCGTATCAGAGAAGTGGCCAGATGGCTGTAGGCTGCAAGGCACGAACAATGCAGTTGCTGGTTTTGAAAGCCGCCCCCCCCACCCAAAAAAATACAGGCTTTGATATGACTCCCGGGTCTATTGTAAACCCGGGGGTAGGGTTGGGTTGGAATCCCGTGAAGCCAACTTATGTCGCTTGGTTGCCATAACCAAATGCACCTCGAGGTGAATCTGGCCAGTCTCTACCCGGAGACGCATCGCTGGATCCGCCGCCGTGACGAAACCTGAGGCAATGAGTCAAGCGGGGCTCTAGGCCTGAGTCCTTTGAATCCTGAGAACTCCGATTTGTTTCAATCATTATATGGAATATTGAGAAACAAGCCGGTGTGGAGAGGTGCAGGATGTGGCGAGATGTTCTGCACTTCGCACAACGAAGGGGGGGAGTGTTGTTTTTGAGTGTAGCCTTGCTTTTTGCGGAAGTTGTTATGTTTTTTGTTGGACCCAGCCTCTTTTTTTTGTGAACCCAGTTGGGCAAATAGCCGCTAGCAAGACCTTTCGTTGGGCCCAGACTTCAATACTTCAGGATATTTCAGGGATTTGGAGGAGGCGGCCGGTTCGCCTCTTGGGTTCGCAGCGGGGAGTTGTCTGGTGACGAGCCTGCGGAGCAGGATCTTGGGCAGAGTGACCGAGGGGACCAAGTCTCGCACATTTTCACCCAGGAGTTCAAAACTGCTAGGCTCTGGTGCGCGTCCGAGGGAAGAGACGTGCGAGCTCAAAAGCCGGGGTGTCCTGCTGTATACTTCGCCACGAGAAACGAAGCCACAGCTTGTGTGTGCCGCCCTTCGTCGACCAAGGTGTGGTTTCATACTTCTTGGCTCTTGTCGTGTTGTAATTTGTGGCGCGTGAAGCACGATGTCTGGGTTTCAGGACTTGCAGCCTTGGACTTGAAACAAGCAAACCCATAAATCATTTTAGAGACACATTTTGCGGCCAACATAGTTTTCAAGTGGATTGCATCTCCTTTGGTGGGAGCATCATTCCCGTGCAAACACACGGAGCCCGCAGCAAAAGCTCTCAGTGTCTCAGGGAGAGAAGCACCTTCCAGCGAGGTCCTAGCTGCCATGTTGACCCGATCGTTGGAGCCTTGCCCGCCATGTCTTTTGTTTAAAATGATAATTAGCTCCAGCTCTCACAGCATGTTGATCCACCTGGCTCGCAGGGATCAGACAATGACAAAATCAGGCCTGCAGCATGCTGCCTTTTGTGTGAAGCGGGGGAGGGTCACCTGTTCAGGCTGGTTCAAAAGGAAACCCAAGAAGAAAGCCAGCATTTGTCGGGGAGTCCCCTTATTTTGATGTGGAAGAACTAGATCCTAGAGCCTTCGCTGTATGAGCTGTGATGGTGGTGCCAGCCTCAATCCCAGCGAGAGGGCTTTGGAGAGCATGTGCCAAGAGGGTCCCAAGCAATTCTTTGGAGCCCAAGAACCAAGAGGTAGGAGTAAGGATATGGTAGACATCCTATTGTCATAGAAGCCAGCCACATTCTTCGGGAAGGTAGCCAAATTGCAAAACAAATCCATCCAAAATAGGGGCTTGTCTATATTTCCCTCTTCCTTGCTTCTTAGATGGCGGGTTGAAACCACTGCCTCGTGGCTCTCACTGCCTCGTGGCTCAGGTGTCGGTGAGCCCTGAGCTCAAGGGACTCAAGGATCGCGGGGACCAGGCGAGGGGGAGGGCGGCAGGTGGGGTGGGGGGTGGGTTCTGCTTGTGCTGTGAGTTGAGGGATTTCGCAAGCCAGTTGAATTGGAGAAGGGCCGAGGGTTTTGGCGGTGGGGCCCTTTGTGCACGAAAGAAAGCTACAGGGCTCACTATTAACCAAAAGGGTTCCTCAAACAAAAGGTCCCCCCTTCATCATGCATGGGAGGGCTTGTTGATCAGTCAGCATTCCGGCGCCAAGCCCTGCCGAGAAGCGAAGCGATGTCTGTTCGCCCTCCTGCCCGGCCGCTCGCTGCTCGCTCGCTCGCTGCTTTTCAAGCTTGGCTCGCCACAGTTAGGGCGGCATTCCCCACACGAACTCAAATCCTGTTCAGCAGCCTGGTCGAAAGCAGTATCCAGAACCACTTGGCTTCACCAACCTAGCTGGAACATAGTCAGAGAACTGACCAGCACACCTTTCGGGAAGCCCACTCACTGCGCACGCAAGCACCCACATAGAACTGCAGATCCCAGACTCAGATCGGGCTTTCTCCTCACTGGCGCCTCACAGCTCGTGGCGTGCTGGCTTGAAACAGGGGGCTGGTCTGAAAAATGTGCTTACCCCAAAATCGGTCACCCTTTGGCCGTCCTTCAGAACAGCCCCAACCCTTTGGCATTCGGTTTCCTCAGGGCTCGTGATTCCTTGCCGATTCTGGTGGTGCGGTTGGTGACGTAAAAAAATCGTTGCACGGGGCGTCTGGTTTGGAGGTTGCTGTGCCGAGTGCCTCGCTTGGCCACCGAGGCGTTGGCGTCCATCGAGGGATGGACATGGAGAACCGGGTGTTGTTGCAGATTAGCCCCTTGTCCGAGAGCCAAGCGGCAAATAGAGCTGGACCATTTGTAGATGGTTTTCACTCTCGCTGCTATGTGGCGCACTCGTCACGGGCTCGCATTCGCAAATGCGCACGTGCTGACACTCGCACATCCCTCTGGCGTCTAGACATGTAGCGGCCTCAGTTGATTGCCGTTCTGGCCGACGGGGTCGGCATGCCAGGCAATGACTCCGACAAGAAGTTCACCTACGACGGTGACTACCTGCGCACGGGAGCCCCTTGGCATGTCACCTGAGCCCGGTTCAATAGGCACGTTCCCGTATCAGCTTGTGCCCTTTGAGCGAGGTGCCAGACTGGTCTGTTTGGGCAAAGACAACGGGGTTTCTTGGTGTATTCGCAAATACCTTTCAGGGCCTGTATGTCCAACACATGGTTTCCCAAGAGCTCTGGAATAGGACCCCAGTTCAGAAGCCTCCCAGTTCTTGATCAAGGGGTCCCCGTTTCCAGCAGGGATTCCTTCGCCTTGATGAAGCTCATCGGGGGATTTAGTGACGAGTCAACAGCGGGGAGAAATGTTTCTAACAATCATGGAAGTAGGAGAACCCTGACCATGTGGTAACTCAGGTTCACACAAGACGGGAAACGAAGAGGTCAAACTTACGATGAGCTTTGGGAAGCTCGAACAATGTGAGAAACAGGATTGTTGGACAGAGGTGCGCTGCCACCAAGAACCGTGGCATGCCGTAAGGTCCCTCCCAATGGTTCCATGTTGAGTTGCGGGGCTCAACAACCCCAAGAATGTTGACCCCGGATAAGCAAACCCTGCTTATTAGCAGTAATAATTTTTATATTTTTTTGGGGGTGTCCCCTTCTAGTGAAGATTCCTCCCTTCTGGAGAAAAAAACCGCTTCCCTCCAACCTGAGGAGTGGAAGACTCCAAGGACCCAGACCATCGAGCCCAACATGCTGACCTGCATAGAGCCCCTCGATATCTGTAAGCCGAGCGGGACGAGCCCGCAAGGGTTCCATGAATGCGTGCCTCGAAATGGGGCACCGGCTCCAAGTTCTGGGTTTCCTAAAGGGGTTGGCTTTTTTGAGATGTTCCCACATGGGTTTTAGAATTGCCCGCGGCGCAAGGTGCCCTGATGTGCTCTCGGGAATATGTTGGAACCGGGCGGTCGACCAAGTCAGGAACTTCAAAGCTTTCGTAGTGTTACAGAAGCGCCTTTTAAGTGGGCGGTACGCGGGCGTGATTTGTTTGGGGGAACATGCATGTATATCAATTTGTATGTGTATATATACATATATACATAGATAGATATGTAGAGATAGATGTTCATAGATGGTGTTTTAGGAGTACGAGCTTAAAACAAGAATCCTGGGACCTCCTCTAAAAGTGACACAATGACACGTTTTACGCAAGCCGCTGGAGGGGGGGCCCGAGCAGCGCAGAGGTTCTTGGGTCAAATATGGGTCGGCCTTGCCATGACGCACAAGCTTGTGCCGAGCAGGGTCCCAACCCTGAAGCCTGGTTCATCCAGTGGGGGAGGGCTGCGAGCAGCCAGGCCGTCCCACACACACACATATATATATATATATATATGCTTGCATTCTGCTGATCGTCTTGGCTCGCAGATGCACAGGTAGATCAGCCAGATCAGCTGTGAGCGATGCGCTTCTGGATGCAGGTCTGTTGCTTTGGGACCTCCTTGGGCCATGAGGCGAAGTATGTTTTTGTCTTCACCGACTCATGGAACGGCCCCAACGAGCGCCCCAAAGCCCCAGCCATAGGTTCGAGTCGCACCAGATAAAGGGCGTGGCCGGGGTGGCTTGGTTCGTGGACAGCGAGGCCGGGCAGCAGGCAAAAGCCGAGAACGCAGTGGCCTTCTTGAAGGGTTGTTTTGCCGAAAAGGAAAAGCATGGACCCCCTCCGATTTTTGGATGCCAAATACAAGCTGATTATTCTTTTCTGCGTGCGCCTTTCGATTGTTTGGCCAAAAGGGATACCTCCACTTTGTCCGCACTCCGAACAGTGAACACGTGTTTTGGGTTCCAAACTTGCGTTTGGGTGTGGATTTTGGGAAGCGCTCCTGTACAGCAAGTTTCCAGGGCGGAGCTCACGCCATCCCAATGTGGGGGGGCATGACCTTTCGCCCCTTCGGGGTGAAATTTGGCGGAGGTTCCCCATTGCGGATGCCAAGTGAAATCGATCATCTCGAATTTCGATCGTGCCGCTTGAAGGGGCCTAGTACCCTTGGACGCAGGACAAAGACATCTACGTCTCGATGGCGGCCGGCTGAGAAACGGGTCTGGGTGGAGGAGACCCCCTCCAAAGTCGTTGGTAGGGTTTCCCCCTCCAAAGAGAAACGGGTGGGCGTTCTGTTGGAGGGGGATTTCTGTGCTGAGGGGCCCCTCCAAAGTCGTTGCTTGCTGAGTTCCCTCTTTGTTGGTCGGATTTCTGTTTGAGGCCTTCGCCAACCCCCGGCTGCAGGAGCCCACCTTCGCCGCTTGGAAGCCATCGGTTTTTACGGCATGCGTCAACCTACGGGACCCCGAACGGGGGGGGGTCTTGAAGCCAACCTGAGACGAGCACTTGCCAAACAACACGCACTCGCACAAACCCACGGAGGAAGCAGCCTTCGGACTTTTTTTTTCTCCCGGGCTGCGAAGGACATGTGGCTGGGTCTCACATTGTTTGGGAACAGCCCTCATGGGAACTCCCTCAGTGAGCATCGACCTTGAGGACTAGGAGCCCGTAGCGCAGGTTTGGACTGGCCGCCCAAGAATCATCCCCCCGGTCCGGAGTTTTTTGGGGGGAATCTTCCGTATCGCAGGGGTGCCGAGCTTTGTTGGTCTCTCTTCGCGCCGTTTCACCAAGTGATTGTTGGGGATGGTCATGGACCCCCCCCCTCTCCCCCCCCTTTTTTTTCCGGGGGTGGCGGGGGGGGGGTTGGAGAACAGATGTCGGGGACCCCATGGCGGAGTTTTTTCGGGTCCTTCCTCGAGTTGAAAGAGCCCAGAGGTTTACAGAGGGAGATGTTCAGTGGTTTCCTCAAACCCATTTTTTGGAACCTCCAACAGTGGGCGGTTTCAACGGGATAAGCAAACAAATGTCAGCTGCAACTTTTGAAGAGTGACACCTGGTTGGACCAACCACCACGCTTTCACGCACCAAAAGCAGACAGGGGTGTCTGGTGAATGGAGGGGGGGGCCTTTAAACCAACCTGAAGCAACTGCACCTGAAAAAAACTACCCTCAACAATCCACAAACACAAGCACAAAACAAAACACCAACACAGACACACTCAAACACACAGACACACACACACACAAATACACAAAGCCATAAACTCACAAACGTACACAATCGCACAAACACATAATTGCACAACCACACAATCACACAACCATATACGCACACACACAGGAGCGCAGAAACGCACAAACACACAAACGCAGAAACACAGACACAGAAGTACGGAACACACAGAACCACAGGGATACAGAAGCACAGAAACACGGAATGGCACACAAAAAGACACACGCACACACACACACACACACACTCTCCCACCCACCCGGAGCCACACACACACGCACACGCACACGTGTGCACGGACACACACAGATATATCTTTTGTTGAGTGTACTTTTTTGTTTGGGTGGTTTGAAAGGAAGTGTACAGGGACACCGCCCAGTTAAGGCTTCCCTGATTTTGAAGGCCCCTTTTTGCTTGGCACCCCCTGCATCGGCTGAGGCCTGCTTTGTGGGCATTCCGCCCGCGGATCTGATGCCCGGTATGGATCGTTCGGATTCTGAAAGGGCCAAAGGCCCAAAGGGGCAACTGGCTGTTAGATCCGCATCCTTGGGTTACGAAATCCCTCAAGAATAGTTTTTGGATTGGCCATTCCTCTATTTCTTATGTCAAGCTGACAGATATTGAGCCTTGGCCATCTGCTTTGAGCAGTTTGCCTGCTGACTATTTTATAGTTCTTGGCATTGTTGCTTTCAAAACTGTACTTTTGGCTCTAGGCATTTTTGAGTGGGTGGCTGCAGACAACTAAGTTTTTTTCCTCACACTTGTCAAGGATCAAAAAGCTGTTGGTGTCTGACAGTTTGCAGGTATTCCAAAAAATGACAGAACTGGTTGGCTTCCGGTTTTGCAGGTATTCCCAAAACATGCAGCCCCGGGTTTGTCTCAAATTTGGCTGGCCCTCAGAAGCGTGCTGGCTTTCCTTCCAGTTCCCTAAGCAAAACCGCACAAAACAACTCGGGAAGCCCCGAAAAAGACACCATACGCAGTCTTCAATCCCCATTTCACCCACCCAAAAAAACAGCCTAGGTCCCCCAGTAGTGCCCTTTTACTTCTTTTTTTTTTTTTGGCGGGGGGAGGGTTCCCCTCCTAAAATAGACTACAGAAAAAAAGGTTGTTGGTACCCTTATTCTAAGCTCCAAAACTGGAGGACCTAGCTGTCGGGCTGTTTTTGTTTCCACGGATCTCGATCCTTGTCTTATCCCGCCGAAGCCCGAGGAAGGCGGAGCTGGACTTGGCGAAGCCGCTGGTCAAGGCCGGCCCCGGGTCCCGGGTCCCGGCGCCGACGAGTCGGTGGGTGTCTCGAAGTTGGAGCTTTAGGGACCTCTTTTGGTTCTACTAGCTGGGGGTTGGAGTTTTTTGATTTTCATTTTTTTTTTGGTTGGTGGGGGTTGTATATATAAACATGGAAGAACAAGGTAGTTCAGTCCCAATGTCAGGGAGACAGTCCCAATAGGAAACCTAAAAAATAGGATGTTGCGACTAAAGTTACAGTCCCAATTTGGGGGAAAGCAGTTGCAGTTCCGCAGGCCGCGAGGCTGCAGATTGGCCAGAAACGAAGTTGGGTCGTGGCCGGCCTTGGGTGTTTCCGATGGCAACCCAGGCTTTTCTTCATGCCAGGTTCGGCCTAAGCAACGCGAGCCAACTGAAAAAAAAGTCGGAGAACATGTGGCAAAAGGGAGCCTACTGGTTTCCAGTGAGACGATCGCCACTCTTGGAGGTTCCAACTCAGGGGGTTTCCCAACGAAAGGAACGCATGGGGGGTCGGCTCCGCCAGGGCCTTCAGCAACTCTCCCCCTGCAGCCACTGCGCGTGGGTGGCGCGGCAGGTGGCTTGGCTCAATTCGAAGTGGGGCGTTGCACTCAGACGTGCCTTAAATGGGTTTGCGTTTTTTGAGGCGCGGCCCCTTTTTTCAGGTGACTGACGTCGCAGTTGCAGAGAATAGATGCCTAGTTACGCCCAATTCTGTTTGCACTGAATAAGATGGTCCGATTTTCAGGGACAAGGTAGCCTAAAAGAGGGTGCGTTATTTTTACAATATTTCTTGGGCAGTATCTTGTGCTCTTCCACGTGTGTCAATAAAGTTCGGACATATGCAACAAAATGTGGAAACAGCTGATTGCTCTTCCCTCAAGGCGAGGTAATTTGAATGCAGCCGAGGTGCCAAGCAGAGCCTATGCATATCTGTGTTTCTGCGTGCTTTGCTGTGCGTGCGCCTAACATACCAGGCCTTTGTGATGTCAGATGCCTGGTCTGCGCTTCGCGCTTTGCGCTGGGATTTGCACCCGTGGCATCGCATTTGTTAAGGTTGGGAACTTCACAGATGCTTAGCTGCAGTTGTGGCTGGCTGGTTGCTGTGGATTTGTGGCTGACAGCTTTTGGATCTGTGCAAGCGCTTGCGCAGGCCATTGAAGCCACTTGGCTGAATCTAACAGCAGCGGCGACACCGTCACTGGAGCGGGGGATGCAATTTTAGGGTTGGGACCTAGTGAGGAGATTGCCTCGCACACTGACTGAAGCAAGCGTTTGGCCCTTATGCCTTTCCGGGTTTCAATCATCATGGAGTGCTGAGGAGCCCCAAGGTCTAGGGAGGAAACTAGCCAATGCTCAGTTCTCTCGTTTTGCTTGTCTTTTTCTCCACCATTTCTTGATAACCCGACCGTTCAACTCGAGCCGCTTTTTGTGGGGAGGTCCAGGTGGGGGTCCAGCAAAGCTGTGTTGAGTCCAGATTCTGGGCTCCGCAATTGATGCGTCAAAGTGGTTTTGGGGTCCCACACAAAGCTGGTTGCACCCCCTGACGAGGCCTTGGGCTGTCCGATCCCAGCGTTCCAAAATCAAGGCCACAAGCAAGTTGTGGGCCTCATGTTTGCGAGACAGTTTTTTGGGGGCCGCCTGTTTCGGAAACACGTTTTTGGGGTCCGATTCGGTGGGATTCGGTGGGTTTAGGGTTGGTTGGTTTGTTGGTTGGTTTAGGACGGTTTACCCGGGCTGGTTAGGGGTTCTGAGCCCCAAAACCCCAAAACCCCAAAACCCCCCGAAACCCACAAAATCCCCAAAACCCTCAAGACATGAGACGCCCATTCACATGACGCGCCTGAGGTCTCCATCTTCGCCAGCGACCACTTCCCGCGCTTCGTGGCCCCGGCCGCCTCCGCGGCCGCTCCCGCGGAGGCGCCGGAGGCCCCGGCAGCCCCGGCGGCCCCGGCGGCCCGGCAGGCAGGCAGACAGAGCGATCGAGGGTGCAACAAGCTGTTTTGAGCCACATTACAAGCAGCAACGTGCCAAGGTCCATCCGCCCAAAAGATCGGTTGGAATGAGGAGCACCATGCTAATCAGGGCATTTCCCTCTCATACAAAGGAATTCTCTCCTGACAGGGGAGCCATGCCTAGTATGTTCCTCCGCATTTTTCTAGAAGTTGGCATAAATGAGCTGGGGAACGTTGACCCTGGATTGTTCTCCGCATAGTGAATTGGGTCCCTTCTAAGGAGACACCCGCCTATCTTACCAACTGGGGCTTTGTTAATCAGGGGCTTTGACCATAGGAGCTCATGATGATGGTTCCTCACTTGCGGGGTGGCCCGCTGGAGTCGGAGCCCTTTCACGTTCGCTTGGTGCTGTTCGTGCATGAGGCAACATGGGCCCGTGAAGCCCGCCCGAGCCCGCGGTGTTGGGGGGCCCTTGTTCTCGCTAGTCGACTCGACTCGATCCTTTTTGGGAAGATCATGTTAAGTGGCGAGGGCCACGGTCTCCCCTTGTATGGGGCGCGGGTGGTTTTTAGACTTGCCAAGAGAACCAGCCCGCCTCGCCGGCGATGGGACCTTCTGCCTGCATTCGGCGCCTGCTTCGCCGCAGGCGGATCTGGCGCCCTCTGCGCCGCCGCTGTCCAACGTCACCGACCTCGCGGCGACCAGCACCTTGAGACACCGCGCGGGTGACGCGAAGTGGCTTCGAAGCCGAGGTTGTGGGTTTGGTCTCAAACAAATCGTGGGCCCTTGTGGTTCTCCGGGGTCGAACTATGCCACATGCAAGGTTTACCTCCACCTGGGGAGAACTGCTAGGTGGGTTGTAGCCTGGGTGGTTGGCTACTTGCCTTGGCCAAGCATCCCTTGACACCCCATCGCCCCGAAGCGCACGCATTTGGCGTCGCTCACCCCAAGTGTCGCCGAGGTACCTCGTCGGCCGGGGACGATGACCAGGCCGCACTGAAGGCGGGGCTGCTGCGATGATCGGTGCTCAGTGGGGAAATGAGGGAATAAACCCGGAGCTCCCTTAGAGGAAACCACCAGTTGGAAGGTTTTTTGTATTTGTCATTCCATTTCTCATTCCCTGCCTGTAGCAAGACGAAGAAGCGAGAGGGAGGGTGGCCCTCGGAGTGTCCCGCTCAAACCTGGCAGCGCGGCGGGCCCCTTCCACACCCTTGCCCTCTAGAAGGTACTTAGGGGCTGCGGGGTGATTTGGTTTCAATCCTGGGTGTTTTGTTTTTTGAAGGTCTCCTTTTTGGATGGTTTTAGGTGGAATTCACAAGTCTTGGCGATTGCCCGCGAGGTCACCCAGTTCTTCAACCAGACGCGGCCCAAGGCTGCACTCGGATTGTCGTTGGAAGCTGTCCTGCTTTTGGACTGGGGACGAGGGAAGGCAAAGCGGAGGACCTGATTCGGGGACCCCTCTTTTCACGATAGTCCACATAGAGAGGCGACCACCCTGATGTCAGCACGTGGTTTCCAGCAACCATGCAGACAGGTATTGCCCAGCAATTGTTGGCTTGAGGCATTTCGGTCGTTTTTGTGGAGGCTACAACTTTTGGAGAGGTCTTAAAGGGAATGTCTGGTGTTGATAGGGCGGCCAGCAGTCGTGCTTGTATCGTCACCTCTGCAGGATGCAGCAGACGGCTTCTGGCCCCTTGGCAGTAATCTGAGGAAGACCCCTGCTTGATTTCATGCACCTTCACGCGAAGCAAGGGCAAATGCGCGGACACCAGCTGAGCGGACCGGGGTATGACCAAACCGAGCGCAAGCCCAATGTGCGTGGACCCCACCCCACCCCCCCAAAAAAGAAAAAGAAGAAGAAAAAACAAGACAGCTCAGTTTTGTCGGTTCGGAATCTTCGGGCCCTTTCCGTTTCCATGGGGTGAGCGGCTGCTCTTGGCTCTCGTTTCCAGGACTTAATAGTCATCCCTAGTTCAAATGTTGAAAAAGATGCTAGGCCCCTACCTGTTGGCGTTGCCACTTCTTGAAGCCGAGCGCGCTACCAACAGGCCCAGAACTCGGCTCGTGTTTGGAGTGGTTTGTGGCAGCTTGCAGGGAGGGTTCCGGAGATTCGGCTCCGGTGGGTTCCGGGTGCTGTTGGGTCCCGATACCTGACCTTATCCCAAGATAGAGGCACACCTCATGTGGCTATGTAAACGTAGCACCTCACAGAAGGTTCCTTTAAGAGGAAACTGATCTTCCAGGTACCTTTTTTCCCCAGGTGCTACGTTTGTTGGAAGGGGAACTGACGGTTTCCTGTGGCTTTCTGGCCACTTCTTTGGGTTGACTCCTTTGAGCGGCTCCCGTTCCTCAGGCGGGGCCTGTCCACGGCTGGGGGCGGCGTGGTGGCGGGCCTGGGCTCCATGGTCGCCTCCTCCGTGGCGGGGTACCAGAGCGAAGGCGCGAGTCGGAGGGGTCGGAGGGGTCGGAGGGATGTCGAGGGCGTCGGAACGGGGGATGGCGTCAGTGGTCAGCAAGTGGTCACCAAGTAGGGCCCAGTAAACCACATAAGGTTGTTGTTGGGGAAAAAAGACGTGTTGCTTTTCGGCTTATGGTGGTTTAGTGGTTGAAATCCAACCACTTAACTGCTAGAATTTCTATTTTTGCTCCCCTTCCAATGTCAACCATGGAAGGACGGGGGGATGGCCATCTGAAAGGGGCATCGTACTGGGTAAGTGGTCGGCAAGCCTGGTGATGTGGTGGTAAACCACGTAAGGAGACGAAAGATCATGTTGATTTTTTGTGGCCTATCTCACCAGGCTTACTAACCACTGACTAAGTGTGATGGGCCCAACCCTGGGGCCGTTTTTTTTTTTTTTTCTTGGGGGGGGGGGAGGGGTTGAGGAGGGGTGGGGTGAGGGTTGAGGGGGTTTTGACAGGTTATGAAGAACCCACATGCTTATACCTCTCCACACACACCAAATCTAGCGTAGTCTTTCCACAAGTGGGGCGGGTGGGGTGGGGGTGTTTAGGGTTTCCTTGGGCAGGGGGGTATTGAATCGAAGGGCCTCGTGGGACGGAGAAAGGATCGAACATTGCAAAAGACCTCTCACGTTGTCCAAGGCCCCCCCCCCCCCCCCATCCAAAACAGGAAGTGTGAACCCTGCGTTTAGCAGCTCGGAGTTTTTGGGGATGCATTCCGCGTGTTTGGTGTGACCGTCCACCAGCACCTCCCGCAACACCATTTTTACAATCTCCAGGATCGGAGGCGACCGATCTCGGGTCCCAGCGGGGTTTTCCAGACCGGTAAAAGGATGCATCCAAAACCACGTGCCGGTGAATTTGGCATCTGCTAGTTTATCTTGCTGGTGCTCAGCAGGGAGTGACCCAGGGTGTTGGGAATGACCCGTTTGGGGATTCCCATGAAGGAAACCAAATTGGGGATGGTCTCTTTGTTGGGGGTCATTCCATCTCTCATTCCCCGTCTGCACCAGCAAGCTATGGGGGGATCGGAAGCCCTTCACGGAGGGAGTTCTCCCGAGACCAATGGGCTTTCGGGGGGTTCTGAGGTCAACTTGTGGCAACGACATTTGGGCCTGGGGTGAACTTTTTATTGGTGGACGCTCTTTTGGTTGGATGAGAAGGGAAAGCCAGAAGGGAATGAGTTTGCATTGGCTGACATCATTTGCATGTGAAACCTACCCCAAATTCGTTCAGATCATTTCACGCAAGCAACATAAGGGCTTACATTCGCAGAATGGGGAGTTGGTACAATAAAACTAAGTATGCTCAGTCCCAGAACATCAAGAGGGGTAATGTCCCTTTCCAACAAAATCAACGAGGGCTCTGAAAGACGAGATTCCTTTTGAACAGCCCCTCTGTCCACTTCCATGGTTACTTGAGCCCACCCCTTACAGGGGCGCCACCTATGAGACAGGACCAAAGGCACAAGAGATGTGCGCGAGCGCCGGGCGACCTTTTCAGCTCAGGCGGTCTGGGTCTCTTGAAGGGTGTCGGTACCGGCCTCGTGGGGGGCGCCGTCATCGCGGTCACCGGCACCGCCTGCGCTTTGGCGTTCCGAGTTCGGATGTCCGCGGGCGGGTGTCGCTTTTGATCGGTTCGTCTGGGCAAAAAATGGATAGGTTCCCCACTGGTTTCGATGGGTTTTTATTCCCCACTACCAGGGAAATCTGTAATTCCATCTACTAGAAGTCCCAAATGATTCTGCAGGATGACTAGGAAATGCAAGAAGGGGGTTGGCTCGTTTGCTTTGTGGATTTCTATCTCAAAGAGGCCCAATCTCTGTGTTACACTTTTCCTGTCGAGTGGGCGGTCAGGTAAGATGATTCTGCCATTGGTTTCATTTGACTCTGCTCACGACTAATGATTCCAGCTGCAGACCCCGGGTCAGCCTTAGTGGATGCCCAAACCATTTTCCAATCCTTTCCGTTTCACACACATTCTCATGGCCAGATATCAAACCGAGTGTTTCTCCCCCTCCCCAAGCAGCAAAAGCCACGGGCGATGTGTGCTGTCTACGGAGGTTTAGGGTTAGGGTTCGCCCGCAACCCTACCCCTAACCCCTAGCAAGCACAGACCCCCCCCCAAAAAAAAAGAGAAGGAAAAGAAATGAGAACATCTTCTACCCCCAACCCCCCTCCCCCCTCCCCACCTCCCCACCCCCCTCCCCACCCTCCTCCCCCCTCCCCACCTCCCCTCCCCACCTCCCCACCCCCCTCCCCACCCCCTCCCCACCCCCCTCCCCACCCCCTCCCCACCCCCCTCCCCCACCCCTCCCACCCCCCTCCCCACCCCCCTCCCCACCCCCCTCCCCAACCCCCCCCCAAAAAAAGAGAAAAGAACAAACAACAAGAAAACCACAAAAACAAACAAACACACAAACAAAAAAACGGGCGCTCGCCTCCCCCCGGCGCTTTTTTCCTCACGAACGAGCCTTTTGGGCCTCGGTGCCGCTCGTTCGTTCGCTCTGCCGAGGCGGCGCGGCGCAGATCGGGCGCGGCATCGCCAACACCCCGGAGGCCTTCCGCGGGCGCCGGGAGCAGCGAGCCCCGCGGCGGGGTGGGTTTTTTCAGCGGGTGGCCAGTGGGGTTTTTGTTGGGCTTGACGGGGGGCAAGCCCTATGTTTCCACCAAATGGGTTTCTTTTGGTTGGTTTTCTTGTGGGGGGATGTCTGCCGCCATCTGAACACCAGCCTAACCAGATTATTTAGCCCTTGATTAATTGGATCCTGCACTTGTCGAATCCTCAAGTCTTTGTTTCAGGAAACATATTAGCCTTAGCATTGAGTAGTTTCCCTTTCATAAGCACTTGTTTGCACTTGCGTTCTATTGTCTTATTTGTTTCGCGACCTTCTTCTTAACATGTAATAAGTTATAAGTATTGTGCTTATTTTGATCAGTCCATTCGCATTTGAATACAGAAAGCAAATGGGGTTCTATCATCTTTTTGGCGGGTGTAAGGATCACACGCAAGTAATGGTGCACTCCCAAGAAAGAGCTAGCTTAAATCCAGAAGCACACTTTCCCCCCGGGGGGGGGGAGGGGTGGTTGCCCCTTTGGAACCCCGACCCACGCCGGATGATGGGCTGGCGGAATCAGCCAACCACTGTGGTCTTCCTAAAGATGCACTGGCAGCTTGTTTGGGGGCGAAGGGTCACAAGGTTCACTAGAATGTCCCCTTTTGGCCTTGACATTTGGCGCCAAGCCAAAGGGAAACCAGTAATGTTTCTAAAAATGGCGGACGCCCCCTTTTGGCGCCTTGGCCTTTGGCAAGCCAAAGGGAAACTCACCACCAGTCTTGGGGTCCCCCTCGCGTGCGCGAGCCCAGGTGTGGGACCAAGAGCTGGGGCAGTGGGCGCCGTGGCAGTGGGAGAGACAGGGTGTGGGGTGGGGGTCCTCTTGGCCGCTGGATTTCCGCCAATAAAAGGTGGCGGCCCCCCGAAATTGGGTCCCCAAGAGTGGTTGTAAAGCTTCCATTTTGAACCTTGGCGCCAAACTTAGGCAGCTAAGGCAGGGAGGCTCGTAGTCAGCCTTTCCAGTGGCCTTATCGAGCCTTGGGCTTGGACCCCTCAAACACCGGAAGCGCAGCTTGCCAGATTAGGACTTGTGGCTGCTGCACTCCTATGGTGAGGGTAGGGGGTGTCCCCCCAGTTTCTGATTTTGCAACAACGGTCACTCACCTGTTTGGCCATCTTCAGAACCTGGCAAGATGTGTTGAGCGCTTCGGGTCAAACAGTTGAATCATTTGGGCTAGCTTGGAGCACAAGGGGCCAAATAGATAGGGTGGGGTACTTGGAAACACAATTTGCCATGCTAGGAGTCAAACAACGCGCTGGGTTTGTTTGTGCTTCTTGAGGGTGAGGGCAACCACCGCCATTGGGGTTGTTTTAGAATAGATGGACCAATTCCTGCACCACTTGGTGGTTATCCCGGCAATCAGATGGCTTTATCCATCCCAACTGCTGAAGTCATCCCGCGGCGAGGGAAAAGGGAATTGCAACCTTGTTGCAACTGACTTTTTGACCCCCCTTGTTCCCCACTTGCAATATATAGCGCGCCCACAGCACCAAGGTTAAGGGAGAATCCCAACCAGAAATGGGTGCAGACGTCCGCCTTTCTAATTCTTTACCTGGTTCTGGGTAGACTCTTTTGCTACCGGGTCCATTTGCTCAAGACCATCTTGATAGTTTCGCTTGGTTTTGAGGGGAATCTTTATTAGTACTGGACCTCGTTTTTCTCGTTTTTCCAGGGGACGAGAAACGCAAAGGGCGGTAGAAAGGACCCAGGTGGACATCAACCTGGTGAAGCTGGAGGAGGAGGTGGCCGCAGAAGGCTCCGACGACGAGGGCGGCTCTGGCCACAGCCCCTCCGAGTCCGTGAAGGAGACCGAGCTCGGAGGCCAAGTCTACCAAGCAGCCTTTCTTTAGCTTTTCTTTTTTTTGTTTGTTAGTTTTTTTTTTTTTTTTTTTGGGGGGGTTCTTGTTTGTTTTCGTTTTTTTTTTTTTTTTTTTGGGGGGGGTAGCAAATTTGTAGTATCCGCACTAATCCCTATACACACGCACACGCATATATATATATATATGCTCATTGAAGGTAGCCTAAACTTGTCGACTCAGCCATTGATGGAAGTTCGGGGGAAATTAGGTTTAATCAGGCTTTACTAAGAGGGGCCAGGTTGCAAATGGGATCCAGTTGATGGCTGTCCACTGGTGTTGCAACACTGGGTGCGCCAGCTTATCCATTTTTTGTCTCAGGTCTCTTGAAGGGTGTTGGTTGATCTGGCTTTTCACGTTTTTCTGCTTCTCCAGCCATATGGAACTCTGCACGGATGAGTCGCAATTCATTACAGCTGGCTAGTGGCAATTTTTAATCAGTAGTGGCCACCAGGACCAAAGCCAGGCCACAGTGCGGTCAGTAGCATATTCAAGCCAGGAAGCAAAGTCATGTAACATGGCGATGAGCAAAACATGTGCAATCAAGAAGGCAGGTTAGCTATGGCGCCTTGCCCTTAAAGTGAAACGGACGATCCCACTGCAGGTGAATATGGGTGGGCCAGGGGCGCAGTTTTATTTTTTGCATTGTGTTGCTTTCTTTGTTGCCTTCCTCCACTCATCCACTTGTTCAGTGGCGCCCTTTCTCATTGTTGTCTGCTGGGTTCCCCACTAAACAATGACCAACTCCAAAAGGGGGATGGCTCGCTTCTTCTACCAGGATCACTTGCAACTGGCGCTCAGGTACTACGACTTGCTGCGGGTGAAGCCATCTGCCAGCCCCGCAGAGATCAAGAAGGCCTACTACAAGGAGCCTCCGGCCACACCGGCAGGGGCGAAGGTCCGGCGTGGAAGGTGCGCCCACGCGGCCCTTGGGAGTTTTTGGTGGGCTCCAGGGGGTGTCATCTGGAGCCTTCTGTCTACCAGGCCTGTTTTGGCCCAGTTGCCACGGTGTCCCCTCCAAGGGACATGGATGTTGACTTCTCCATAGGTCTTTAAGCAGGAATATGGGTTGAATGGGGGCCCTTAAAGGCAAGCCACCCATATGGGCATTCCATTCCGATTCCGTTGTTTTTTTGGGACGGACTCCCATATTACACATCTATACATATATAGTTACATTCATATATGTATACAACTGTCTATATGTATACGCATAATAATAATAATAATAATAATAATAATAATAATAATAATAATAATAATAATAATAATAATAATAATAATAATAATAATAATAATAATAATAATAATAATAATAATAATAATAATAATAATAATAATAATAATAATAATAATTAATAATAATAATAATAATAATACTCATGATACTAATGGTAATAGTACTAATATTAATAGTAACAATAACAAGAGCATGTGTATGCTTATATACATATATATGTATATATGTGTGAATTCATATGGCTGTACTCGTCCTCTTGAAGTCTGAGGAGGCCCGGGCCTGCCATCCGGACAAGAACCCGGGGGACACGGAGGCCAACGCCAAGTTCCAAAAGCTGGCGGACGCCTACCAGGCGCGGCGGCAAGGGGGGTGGGGGGTGGGGGGGGGGAAAAGGGGGGTGAGGGGATTGGGTTTGGGTTTTTTGGACCTTTCTGTGCAAAACACGGAAAAGAACACCGGGAAATCTGCCACCTTCTCAAGGTGGTGGAAATGCCCAAGAAACATGGAAAGGGCAGATGTGAGTATGCTAAACTACCTGTGTTGATGGAAATTCAGCGCATAGGGGAAGGGATGCATACTGTGGATGCACAAAATCCTGCAAACACTTAATTAGTGGTTTGCCAATGTTTATCCCATTCACAGGGGCTTCTCATGTTTCATGCGTCTCGACTGGTGCAGGATTTTGTCCATCCACAGTAGGTGTCCCTTTCAGGGTAGTTTAGAGAAGCATAGGTGGGTTGCACTGGCTTAGATAAATACACTTCCATTTGCCGCCATCTAATTTTGAAGAAGGCCGCCTCTGCCAAGGGCTCAGAAATCAAAATTGGGGGGGGGGGGGGGCGGGGATCCTCTAGAAACCACCATCTTTTCTGGGTTCCAGACTGGAATTCCGCAGTTTTTTTTTTTTTTTTTCAAGGGCACATCCGAGTGTCAGGTTCCGTTCAGTCGGCGCTCTGGCTTGGGGCGGAAGCAAGCAATCAGCCGCAAAAGGCGTTGATCCAGGCTGGACGGCCCGAAACACCCCCGCGGGAAATGGGGATACCACGCCTTTCGTACAGTGGAACCGTCTTAGAACCTGGGGGCATGTTTATTTTGATTATATTATGTACGTATCTATTTGTTCAGTTTTATCACTATTATTGTTATTGTTGTTATTGATATTTGTTTGTTTGTTCTGTCTGTTTTGTTTGTTTGCTTGTTTGTTTGCTTTGTTTGCTTTGTTTGTTTGTTTGTTTGTTCTGTCTGTTTTGTTTGTTTGCTTGTTTGTTTGCTTTGTTTGTTTGTTTGTTTGTTTTGTTCGTTCATTTCATTTCATTTCATTTCATTCCCTTTCATTCCGTTTCGATTCCATTCCATTCCTTTCCGTTCTGTTCCATTCGTTCATTCATGTATTCATTCATGGGCAGGCTTCCTTCCCTTTTTCAGCACAGCAAACTCACACCCGCTGGACACAAGTTCCCATGCAATTTCCCAAAGGCCCCCAAGTTGGAGTTATACCAAGTCGGACGGTCGGAGCGGCGGTCCGCGGGAAGGATTTGCCACTAAAAATCCCACATAAACAGCCCGCTCTTTGTGTTCATAGGGCAATGGCAACTTTCCAAAAGCTTCGAAGGTGGGTTCGGGCGAGCCAAGTGCAAACCAAGTGATAAACTTGAAGTGGTGCCATGGATGGCACCGGGTCGCCACTCGGTTTTCATGGCTGGGCCCATCAACGCAGACTTCTTTTTTTTGGAGTGAGGGCTCTCAAAACCAATGTCAAGCCTGGATGAATAAACCTTGCACACTCATGTGGGGTGCTTTCTTTTGGAGTCAGGGTTTCCTTTAGCCCACCAGTTTTGCAGGACTGATTTTGGATCATTTGGGGGTGTGCTTTGGTGGAGGGAGCCATTTTTTGATGGTGCTTAAGGAAAAAAGCCCACGGGACGACGCATCACTGGGGACCCGGTCGATTTTGCCAGGTGCTGTCAGATCCCGAGTCCAGGCCTGGGAGAGACGGCGGGTCTTGACCAGTTTGCCCCTGGGGTTTGAACAAACGTCTTTGATGGTTTCGTTGGGTATGAATGCACGCACACATACATACATACCTGTATATATAATATGCATATGAATATGCAATATATAGATAGGGCCGGGTGACAAGGATTGTTTTCGTTTTGAGTTTTTTTTTGGGGGGGGGATGGGCGGGCACTGGTGCCTTCCCATGCTTCAAATCCAAATGCCATGCAAAAGGCGGGAACTACCGCGTCCCCGACACACGCAGCCCATGGAAGGGGGAGCTACCGAGTTGCTTTGGCTTGCCGGTGCTCAGCAGGGAATGAGGGAATGACCCCTATGAACTATCCCTTGTGGTTTCCTTTAGGGGGACCCCTGGGATCATTCCCTCATTCCCTACTGAAAACCAGCAAAGCTGGCAAGGGGCCTCTATAAACATCAAGCAGCCATGTCCTCGGTGCGAAGGAACCCCCTAGAAGGTAACATCCCAGAAAAGGTATTGCAGAAGAGGCGGTTTTCTAGAACCGGGGGGGGGGGGGAGGGGGTGTTTTGCTGCGTGTGGCTGTTTTGTTGCCTTGCGCAGAGGCTTCGCACGGTGCAAAGTCCAGAGCATGGTGGTTTCTCAAAACCGGCAACCCCTTGTTTCCGCTGGCGAGATCAACCAGAAATGACCATGGGTCAAAATGCCGTACCCCCAGTGAATTGCCTATTTGCTTGAATTCTGGTCCTTGCATCACGACCGAGTTGCATCTTGCCCTTCTTCCCTGCTGGGTGGCCAAGTCGGCATCCCAATCCCCGCTAATTCAGGCCAACAAAATGGGCGGTGAATTCACCTACCAACCAAAGTGGGATCCCAAAACGGTTTTGACACGGCCAAATCACCCACCCCCAGGGCAACCACCGCCACCACCCCCCCCCCCCCCCACACCCACATGCCCCCCCCCCCCCCCACCCATTGGTTTTGACAACCACGGCCAAATCATCTGCCCATCTCCCGTCCAGGAAGAAGTACGACCGAGAGGGCAAGGCGGGCATACAGGAGGGCAATGCGCGGGCCTCAGCTCGTCCTCTGCACCTCGTCTTTTTTTTCTCCTTTCTGGGGGAACCCGCCCCAAGGTTGGCGGTTTTAACAGGAAGCTTAAGCACATAGATAATTAAACACATCAACAAAGACATAAATAGATGAGTATCTTTGGACCAAATAGGACTACCAAGGATCTCTCAGCCAGCACTAGGACCAAACTAGGGCTAGAGGATTTTACTCTGCCAATCCGAATGGTTGCCCTTTGATGTTTAATTGTGACCCAGGATTACTAAACCCGTCTTATTATTATTAGGAGGGTGTTCCCTCCAGAAGTGATCTCGAATCCCCACGAAAAGGAAACTCCCCCCACTCAAAATCAACCAGGGGTTCTACTTAGATCCGGGGTTGACATTAGAGGCGAAACGTAGGCAGCCGGGCGTCTCAGGTGAAGATGGACCCCTCGGTCTTCTTCTCCCTGCTCTTCGGGTCCGAGCGCTTCGAGCCCTGGATCGGCGAGCTGCCGGGGGCCCAAAGCTTGTGGGTGCCAGGTGGTGGCGGTGGTTGCTTGGGCGTGGCTGCTTTGGCCGGTATGGGATCCCATTTTGGTAGGTGAAGTCACCACCCATTTTAGAACCGGGATTTTAGTGGGGATTGGGATGTTCACCGGGGGTAGGGGCTTTTGACCCATGGCCATTTGCTTTTTCTTTGGGGGGGGGTTGCTGATCTTGCTTCCAAGCCATGCTGGCCAGTTCCCGGGGAAGGCACTGGAGGCCGGGGCAAAAGCGGCGTGTGAAAGCAGCGGCTTTGACATGTTGGATTCCTGCAGTTGTTTTCCCGGGCGGCACCGGCAGGAAGTGGGGTCAATCACCAGGTCAGATCCAACGATTTAATCCTATTTTTGTCGGTTCTCGCATGGGGGGCTGGTGCTTAAGAAGCGACCCATGCATTGATCGCAATTCAGACCCCGAAGGAGTGGCTTTCGCCATGTTTTGTGGTTGCTTTTTTTCCTGCTTTTTTCGTGTGTTTCTTGAAGGTTGTGGAGCGGTGGCGGGGGAGGTTGCGGTGTTGGGGCCTAGGTAACGCTTCCGATCTTCATATGTGAACGCCTCCAGGCAGTAAATGTGCAGGGCGTCCAAGGGAAACGCTTCCAAACGGGATAGTTGGCAAAGCGGACAAGAATTTGCCCAGGCACCTGGCCATGCAGACGGGCCAGCTTGCCAAGGCCATGGAAAAAGGGGGCCCCGGACCCAGCGACCCAGCGACCCAGTGAGCCAGTGAGCCAGTGATAGCAACGAAGAGGTGGAAGTTTGCTCTTGTTCCAACTGTATGCTCCATGGAAATCCAGGGAAACCACTGGAGGACTGCCTGGTCAGCTTCATGAGGGGGATGGGGGGAACCACCATCCCAGCGGCAATCCTGGCGAGGTGTGGGTGACTGGTGGGCAAGTTTCGGGACATGGAAATGAGTGAGTTGCCCGTTGCTGTGGGCCCTTCTCCTTGGGGGGGAGGGGGGGCCCGCAATCAACTGGGGTGGGGGACCCACATGCCTAGGTGGGGAGGTGAGCGAGGAGAACATGGACTTGGGGGAGGACGTCGGGGCCCCTGGCGGCGGACGCCGGCCTTGAGATGCAGGTCCAAGGGAAACATGCCACAACACACAACCGATTGGGGGGCGGGAATGGGGCTGGGGCGGAGTGGGGGTGTGGAAGCCCTGCGTTTTTTTTGTTGTGCCAAGCATTTTTTTGAAAAGAGCAACACCTGTGAACTCGCAGGATCATGGGTTGGAAAACGGGGAGCGCATGAAGCTCGAGACGCCGTTTGGCACCGACTCGCTCGCTCGCTCGCTCGGGGCTCCGCGGCAAAAACTCGCTACCGCTGAGATCATGTCCGAGAACGGGCAGATGGCCCTGAAGAAGCGCCAGCTGCACCGCGAGGCAAGATGCCCGTCTTGGGGAATGTGGTGAATTGGGGGACGCCTTTCTCCCCCAGATTTCTGGGATATTAAAGAGGGTGCCCAATCGCTGTTCTTTAGGCTCTGGGGAGTTCCTGAATTGGCATCGCTCCGGCTGAGAGCTTCTGCGCGCCTTGTGCAAAGCTGATGTGGCTGTGCATGTGTGTTGTTTGGATGCCTCCCTTTTGAGGATTGGCTTAAGGGACTCCAAAGGGAAACCACATCTTTGGAGGGTTCCATTTGTTTGATGAAGTTCCCTTAGCCAATATTTTGATGAACCCTTAGGCCATGCCTGCTAATTGGCTTGCTCGTCCGTGTTGGCCTGCGCTGAAAGAAACAAATCTGGGTCAGACCGCGAGCACGGCCAGGTGCATTGCGCGGTGCACTTGCGGGAGTTCCTGAACGATTTGGTGTACAGGCTCGTGGTTTGTTCCTCTTCCCTCTTGCGAGAGAGAGAGGGGGTGAGAGAGGAAGAGAGAGAGAGAGAGGGAGAGAGAGCGAGAGAGAGAGAGAGAGAGAGGGAGGAGGAGGAGGAGGAGAGGAGGAGGAGGAGGAGAGGAGGAGGAGGAGAGGAGGAGAGGAGGAGAGGAGGAGAGGAGGAGAGGAGGAGAGGAGTTCAGGAGGAGCAGCTGAGGAGAGAGAGGGAGAGAGACCCTGCCGGTTTTCATTGCTGCCTCGAATTGCCATCGGTTTCCTGTTGGTTTCTCTGCCCCCCTCCCCCCCACCCGCGTTTCCGCCGCCAAAAGAGGTCCGGGACCCCAAAAAACGCCACACGCACCGTTTCTTCTGTCCAGGCGGGACAGCCAGGCTTTCGAGCAGCGGCCTGGCAGGGGCTTTGTGCGTGGGGTCAATGAGGATTCGCGTTTTCATCGCCCCCTTGGGGCGATGCAAAACATCATGTTTTGGCCAGGCACATCTGAATGGACCGCGTGCCAGAGGGAGGCACCGGCACATGAAGGCGCAGTGTGTGCCCCTTTTTGCCGTTTTGGGGTGACCGCGTGCCTGAGGGAGGCACCGGCACATGAAGGCACAGTGTGTGCCCCTTTTGCCGTCCGACAACCCCTCCCCTCAGTTTGTGAAGGGCACCTCGGCGACAGGATTGGTAAATCCTAGTTGGGGTCAACAGTTTTTTTTTTGTTGAGAGGAGGATGTTCTTGTCGATGTCCGTCGGTTGCTTTAGGGAAGTCTTGAATCTACATTCGATGTTCCCTTCTGGTCGCCTGTGCAGGGGTACCAAGAGGTTGCATGTTGGAAGGGTTGGGCCCATGTCTTCTTTCAACCCCAATTGAGCAGGTCCTTGCCCTTCCAGGCAATGAACCTGGCATGGGATTTGGATCTGCGTCCTTTTGCAACATCATGCACGATCCTTTTTCCTGACCTAGCCGCCTAGCCGTAGTTGTTTCTAGTTTTCGAGAGTGTCAGCGTGCTTTTCTCAGATCTCTTTGGAGGATGATCCTCAGCGTGCCTACGGCGAATTGGCTTTTCGGCTTTGCACCTTGATAGGGGGGGTGGCAACAAATCAAAGGGCACTTCCCCTTTGCATGACCCTTTTGCATCGCTTTTCGATTCGGATTCCAGCGCTCTCTAAGTCGTTGTCTGGTTTTCTGTTCATGTTTGGCGGGTTGATGACATACCCAGGGTTGGGACTTGTTGGGGCCAACCCAACTTTATGAGAAGGGATGCATCAATCGGTTGAGTAGAAGAGGGGGGGGGTTCCGAGAGGGAGCCTTCACTTTTACGGGACACACTTAGCAAAACCTACGCCACTGGACTAATCCGTTAACATCAGTCACTTGGGCCTGGGGAATCAGGCGAACAGACTTGATAGAACATGAGGACCCGTCCAACCATCCAATAACCCATCTCTCCCCTTTTCAGAGTTTTCCATGCCCTTTGAAGAACCCAGGAAGCTTCGAAGAAGCTTGGTGCTTCCCAGCCATCCGATCCCTTAGCTGTAGGTGGCCTTTTTGTGTAGCTTCTTCGTTGGCTCGGTGGTTAGATGAATCCATGTTACCCACCAAAAGTTGAAAAACACAAAACAAATCTCTTCCCAGAAATCTCCGACAACGGACCGCCCAGCGGACGGACCGCTGACGCTATCCCCTCAGGGGAAAAACCGGGGACGGGGTGGGGTGGGCTCCGGGACTCCCAGACTCCCAGGCGCGCGCGCTGGGAGGCCGCGGAGCTGGCGAAGTGCCAGTTCGGCCGCTCGGCGTTTGCGTCTTCGTGTTCCCGTCTTTCGCCTCGCGCGCGTCAGGCGCGTCAGGCGCCGCGGGCGTCGGAGCCCGTCGGGGCGATTCCAAGAGGAAGCCAAGGGGAAGCCACCGTAACGAGGCCTGAAAGAAGGTGAGTAAGAGATGGCCCCTCTCCCCATAGCTTTTTTTCTCAGGGGTCCATGATGACACCCCATGGATTTATTTCTACGCCGGAAGCGTGACTTGAAACCAAAAGCCAGCCGCCTCGGAGGAGTCAGCTCCTTCCGAGCATAGATAAGCCTTTTTCCGGAATCGCAGCCTGCCTCATTTGCCTCCTGTGTTGAGTGCAAGGCCAACTGGTGTGTGTGTGTGTGACCTTTCTCAGCGCTCCTGTCGCAAGACATGGGCCTCGTCGGCCTAGTGCCTATGGTTGGCTTTTCTGCCCATCCTTGAAGCCATCCATGACAGAGCTGCTATTTGGGAAAAGCCGCGCACCCATTTCACAAAAGGGGCCATGTGCTTAGAATGGTGGGTTGTGGGGTACTTTGGGCATGATTGAGGGCACATAGTTCCAGCACCGGTCCGTCCACATGGAACCTGACTGAGGGTTCCTGGTTTGGCCGAGGCCCTGAGCTGTTGGCGGCCCTGGGGGAGCTTCTCGCCGGAGAGGGTGGGCTTTCTGTGAAGTCCACTGGGTATTACTTTTATAGGAACAGTGGGAGGTTGCGTGTGGAGGGAGCCTCGTCAAGTCGCTCTCTGCTGCGTTGACTCTGTGAGGTGTCGTTCAGGTGTGGCCGGGGGTTGGTTTGACTTAAGCCCCGGCTCGTTGTCACGTCGCGGGCTCCCAAAAGCTCAGGATGACTGCCAGGCCTGTCCTGAATTGACCTGGGTCATTGATCTGTCAGTGGTTTGGGGTGGTGATTTGGAGGGCAAGGGAAGCCTCCAAAAACCCGAAACTTCAAAAGTGCCAATCCAAACCGCCCATCCTTTTCGGTATGACGGATTTGTGCAGCTGTGCCCGGACGGGGGCAGTTCGGCCGCAAGGCGGACAGAGGTTCAGATTTTGTGAGCACAGCTTCCGCAAAGAATAAGGGAGCAGCTGGGAGTACTATCAAGGCCTATGTAATTTGAATGGGCCTGGGATACATTCAACCCGGATTAAGTTATCGAAAACGAATCGCATGCGATTATTTAGCCTCTACTACCTTGCCTTTGACTGATGGACAGCATGTCTAAGGATGTACCAGCTGAGATCGGAGATTTATCTGGCAGATGAGCTGGTGGGACGCTTCTCGCTGACCAAGCAGATGGCCCCTTGGCCTCTACTTTTCAGGGAAGCCCCCTGCCCTGGTGACCTTGTACTGGCGCTTAGCGCCCGGCCTCTAATTTTTGGCAATCATATCGCGTATTTTTGGGGCTATTTGGATCCAACTGGAAGGAGGGGGGGTTCCACGTTGCACCGAATGCAAGGTGCTAAATTATTTTTCTGTGATGCTGGGGGCAGTCGTTTCAATAGTACTCCGTTCCAGTCTGATTATTGTTTGCTTGCTGGTCCTCACTAGGGAGTGAAGAGTTGTGCGAAAGGGAGTCAAACCGATTCAGACCACCAACTAGGGGGCAGTTAACATGCTTCAAGGAATGCTTGAATTTGTGGTCACTCTCTCTCTCTCTCTCTCCCTCCCCTCCCTCCCTCCCTCCCTCCCTCCCTCCCTCCCTCCCTCCCTTTCTGACCAGCACAACTGGCCCCCAGCGGCTTGACCCCATGTAGCAACCGAGGCAGCCATGAAGCACTCGGGTGCCTTGGCTTGGAAGGCAGCGAAGTGATACTTCTGTGAATTCTGTGGCGTTTGACGCATTTTCCGCTTGGGGACATGTCCTCTAGGGCCTGTGCCGTCGCTCAGCACATGCCACGGGCTTTTTACTTCCTTACTTTGCGGTTTGGATTTTTTTGGTTTGGGGGGAGGGGGGGTTGATCCCTTTCCCTGTTTTCTATAGTCACAAGTAAAGACAAGCACATTTTTTATCCCCTGCGCCGAGCGATGCGCATGTCCTTTGTGAGCTGAGGCTTGACCATCAAGCACAAGTGGAGCCTGGTGTCGAGACTTGTCCGAAGCCCTGTGGCTTATGGGCCCCAGAAATTGGCAAGAGTTCAAGTATGGAAAGGGACCACCGCCCCCACGAACCAGCGAGAGTTCAGGCGTTTTCTGTGGGGCCTGGGCGGCCTGAGGCTGACCCGGATTTGGTGAGTGTTTAGGTTGTTTGTTTGGCAGTGGCATAAGTTGCCGACTTGCCTCTTTCCGTTGTAAATGGGGAACTGGGGGAGTTTCCATGCACAACAACCTCGCAAGGGAGAAGCAGTGTTCCCTCTTCTCTTGGGGTAATGTGGCCAAGTTTGTGACCCATGTCCCTGTGGTTTGGGAGTTAGCTGAATCATTCCAAGGCGTTACATACTCCAGACACAAGTGGGTTTATGGGCGGTTTGGCTTGCAAGCTCCCTGATCTAGAAAGCGGTTTGGATGTGGCTTTTTTGGATCCACCCCTGTAGAATATTGAAGGAGTACTAAATGATTACCAAAACAAGGACCAACAGTGGGACAATTCGGCGAAATCCACAAGAGGCGCAAATCCAAACCGTGTTCTAGACCTGACCAAAGTGCATGTCGGCATTGCTTTGCCAGTGCGCGCCAGGAATGGCGTGACCAGCTTGTGGCAGGTGAAGCGAGTGCATGATGCCTCGAAGGCTGGGGGTTTGAGGTGAGGGCTGGGGTTGCTTTGGGGGGTGGGTTGGCTGGCAGAAGAACAAAAAGCCAGAATCCAAGTGGCCTCTTAGAGACTCATGGTCACTGGGTGTCTGCGAAAATGGACGGGCACTTGAGCATGGATTGGCCGATTGGGCATAGGCCAACACTTGTTTTTCTTGAAAGCAGCAATGTAAGCTGAGGTTCCATGGTGAGCCGGTTCCACATGGTTCCACATGGTGAGCGGAAAAAGATCAGTTGGATTCTTTTCTTTTTTTTTTGGGGGGGGGGGGTCAAATACACCCGTCTCCACGTCAGCTTTTCTTGGGTTCGGGCGGAGACGTTTTGTTGGACTTGCGTGTCAGGTGGTGGAGGGGGCGCAGGAGAGCCTCACGCCTGAGGAGAAGGTGCAGATGCCGGATCTCGGCGTGTTGAACCCTGGGAGTCTGGTTTTCTGGTTACAGGTTGGAAGCCTTTGGGGTAAAGGCCTTGAAAAGGTGCTGGAAAGGAGGTTTAGTGTTGTGAGTTGGGTCGCAAACTCTTTTTTTGTTTTTTTTGGAGAGAAAGGCCAAGTTGTCTCTTTGTGCTTTGTGCAAAACGGGGCGCGCCTGTGAATCAACTAGGAGGTTGTGAATCTTGGCATCACTTCATGGCGGACTTCAGAACTCAGCTAAGGGCCCCTCAGTCGAAGCACGTCGAACCCTTGGGTTTGCAGCATCAAGCGAGGTCCTCACTCCCTTGCATGCGCGCAGCTGGCAACAAAGTTTTAGGGCTGGCCCCTTCAACAGTGGAACCTAATCCATATCAATGCCAGTAAGCAACGCTCCTGCCAAATTCTTCGAAAACCAACCTTTTGACCGAGTCGACCATTGATTTCCAGGTCATTTAAGTCCGATCTTGAAAGCTTTACCATTTACTTACAGAACCCCTTGGTAAAGCAAATGAGGTGGGGATGTTGATGTCCCTTTGCAAAGCCTCAACTTGATTTGATTGCCACCTGAGATTTGTTTTTGTGCATTCCCATTTTCCAAGCTTGGTACTCGGGTATCGGTCGACGCCTAATCGGACGCTGTGCTGATTTGATGGTTTGTTGTCCGGGTGAAGCAGGTGCCAAACAAACTAGGCTTCGGTGCCTGTCTGGCTTCTGGCTCGGGGACTCGGGGACTCGGGCGTTTCCGGATGTCCTCTTTTGGCCGTGGCTCAAATAGGGTGAATCCCACCTTGCCAGTGGACTTTGGTGTGCCGGACAGAGTCACCTTCCAGCTGCAAAATGGCGCTGTCACTTGGTGTGTCATTTTGTGCCGCAAAACCTGGGTTCCGCAAAAAGTCGGTCGGCGCGCCAGGTGAGAGGCAAAGACAGCCATCCTAGCTGTAGCCTGCAATAGCCGGGAAGTGCGTCATTTGAGGTTAAAGGGGACGCGCAAAGGACCCCTTCGAACTTGCGCTTGGGGCCGCCTTTCGCGGTTGCCATGGGCGGCGCGTCATGGGACGCCTCTCGTGGTTGGCTTGGCTTGCAGCTTCCGCGCATGCCGCGCGCGAGCAGTGCAACTCCGAGCCCAGGAGCGGGTGAAAAGATCTTGGAAGGCGAGGTAAGGGTCCTTTGAAGCTTCAAAGGATTTGCATTTGGGCCAGTGATTACATCACCACCAGCTGATTTGCAGGATCCCCTTGCAAAGCAGCTGGTTTTCGGATGTATCCTTTGAGGAACCGATCTCCTTGCGAAGAAAGCAGGTGGTGGGGGGGGGGGAGAACCCGCCTTTAGGCGACAAAACACGTGAAGCTCGACCTGGGCCAGGCAACGCCTCCAGGCGGTAGGCTGAGTGGTCTGAGGTTTCTGAAGGCCAGCGGATCGACTTGGCAAAGAAAAGAAACGCATTTGGTGGTTTTTTTGGTGGCTGAGCTCCTTGCTTTCAGGGGCCCGACTTATTCGTGGACCAGCTTTGCTAGCTGACTGAGGGTGAGCCACAGTGGATTTTGGTTTCCTCCAGGTATCTGCCCAAGCATGTACCCAATAGACGTCCCTGAAATAGCCCACCCGTATACCGTGAGTACCCAGGTACCCCCAGCCTAAACAGAGTATATGGTTGGGACCGGATGGCCATGCCATGCAGGCATTTGCATTTGCTTCCCTTTGATCCTTCGTGCACAGGTCGGCAGGCAACCGGACTCCGGTTCTTGCCCTTCATAGTTTTCCTGCGAAAAGTTGGCCTACTAATTCAGAGCCATAGCCAGGGGAGCCATTGCAACCTGGCGAGTGGCTCGTATGGACTAGTCGGAGAAGCAGGAGGGCCATTCCGAGCCAGAACCTTACCCCTGGGTCTACCCCTCCCCCTACTAACATGACGCATTTGTGGTGGAAGATCAAGTTCCTCAAGAACGTGCCGTGGCGTGGGCGGGATAAATCCATGGAGATCTCGATCAAACAAACATCGTGGGAGGAGCTCTGAGACCCAGAGCTGGTGCACCCAGAACTGCGTCCAGCTCCTAGCCTTTGTGCGCATGCGCATGCCCTACGCGCCTCGGTCTGTGTGTTTCATAAAAATAAATACAATAAAGTTATTGTTGGGTGGGTGGGTGGGTGGGTGGGTGGGCAAAACCAATGTTCAAGCAACCAGGCCTTGGCCCCGCCCTTAGGGGGAAACCAAAGTGAGTGTTTGAGTAATAGGGCTTGGCCCCACACTTCTTGTTTTGGCGGGGAAGGGTCCTTCCGTCCACCATGGGCTTGGGTTCCTCAGCCATGCTGCTCCTCTGAGAGCTGTGTGAAAGTAGATGGCAACCATTTTCGGAGTTCGTCCCCTTTCCTTCCCCTCATTGAGGGAATTGTGCGATATACTTCGACTTTGATTATGGCTCCTTGGGCTTTTCGACTTTTAGAGTTCACATAGATTTCGCAACGAGCTTTTGCTTTCGCCTCCCCCAAGCGTCCCGGGGAGCTCTTGCGGTTGCCTTCCAGTTTGTTTTTTGGAAATGCGGTTGGAAGTCTTGAATTGACCCAACATTTCGATGTTTTGTGTGTGTTATTTCCTCAAAACAAAGACTGCCATGTTTTCAGAGATTGAACCGGCTCATGATTTGCAAGAAGGCACCGGGACCCCAAAACCAATTCCCGCCTGAGCCATCCAACCACTTACACCCCACTTCCACCCCACCTGCGGAGGCATGCTTTCTCTCCTGTCCGGTTTTACCCGAAGCCAAAGGAAGAAGGTCCCCCCCCCCCTTTTTTCGTCTCCAGATCTCTCTGCATCCCCTCCCAGCACTTTTCCATGGCCACCCCACTTGCGGAGGCATATTTCCATTTTGCCCCCCCCCCCCCCCTGCCCCTTCTCTCTCTTTCAGACGAGCATCGACTTCAACGTGCTGCGCGCGGCCAACGAGATGAACACCTGGTCAGTGTGCCCGGCCGCCTTCCGCAGCATCGTCTTCTCGCGGCTGGCCCATGAGGTGGACCAACTGGAGCCAGACGCGGCCGGGAGGCGCCAGGCGGAGCACGACATCAAGGCGGGTCCCCACTCGGGGTGAAACTCGGCTTAAACGGCGTCAAGGCGAATCGGCCTGAAGTCACCTCAACTGGTTTTCTGATTGAACATTGGTGTCTCCACCTGTCGGGTCCCCGAAATTGGTGTCCTGTTGGTTTCCCCCTTCAACCCGCCGTGAGAACATTACCTCATCTCACTCACGCCCGCGCGAAGACCATCTCTCGCGCGAGGTGGCGGAGCACGCGGCCCGGGAGTTTGTGACGAGGAACATCTCCCGGTACTTGGCCAGCGGCACGTCCTTCGCGCCCTGGTGCCGCGCTCAGCGAAGAAGTTTGTTGGCTGGCTGTGGCCGGTTGGCCGGGTGTGGGGCGTGTCAGCACAGGGGAACTACGGAATATTTTTGTGGTTTAGTTTCCCTTATTAAGAACCATCCCTAGGCAAAGTCCGTGTCTTTTTTTTTGAGCAGACATTTTTTTTTCCAGCTTTTTAGTGTTTGGTGGCAGTTTTCCCACTACACCAAAGTGCAGAAAACAATGCATCTGTTCAGTGGTAGTTTTTTCCAGACTAAACCCAAGGTGAAAAAAAACACGTCTTTCGCCCGGGGCAGAAGGGGCGCCAAGGTTCCACCTGGGCCTGCTCTTCCGTGCGCTTGAGGCCAAGTTCCCGGAGCTGCTGCCGAAGCGCCCCACCAGCACCGAGCCATGGGGCCGATGGGGGGGGGGATGGGGGGCGAGGCGCTACGTGGGGGGCTGGGTATGTCTTGGGGAGATGGGGGGTGTGCGCATTCAACACATGTGAGGATTTTGTGAGTCGTCTGAAGGGAAGAATTTGGCAAGCATATGTTGCAAGAACATGTTTTCAGACACTGAAGAATCTCAGAGAAATCTCGTGACTCGTTGATCCTTGCCGCCTGTTTCCCAAGCTGCGGAGGGGTCCTTGAGCAAAAGAGCGATTGAGGTGCCCCCTGACAGAAGCTGCCAATGATGCGACCGGAAGAGCACCCTTGGCCGAGTGATTATCATTGGGTTTGGTTACAGGAACATATCCGGTGGAATTTGCTGTGCCCCACTCCTTTGAAAGTAGCCAAGGTGCAAAGGCCGCCGCCGTTGAAGAATTCTGTTGATGTCCGAGCAACATTTGTTGGTGCCTGCCGTCGGGTGTCACGGCATAAGGATCATCCTCCCAAATGGGTTGGGTTTCCGGTTTATTTCAACGAGGCTTCCTTGAAGGTGCCATTTTGACACCTTCAAATTAATTCCGACTAGACCCGTTTGGCTCACATCTTAGAACTGTAGCTGTCGTTAGCTGTCGGCGGAAGAACGACAACCGCCCCCCGCGCCAAAGCATGAGGAAACCAACAAACAGCGAGGGGACAAAAAATGGATGTCCTCTGTTCGCCCCCCCAAAAAAGGGAAACAAAAGAGGAGAAAGCCCAAGAAACAAAGGGAATACCCAAAAAATAACAGGGAAACCAAACTAAACAACAGGAAGACGAGGCCAAGCAAAAAGGGATACAAACGAGGGGACTCCAAACCACAAAAACAGAGCAGGACACAGCATGAGACAGAAATAAACGCCCCTATTCAACAGGCCAAGAAAGGAAGTTGGTGGGTGAGCTCGCCCACCCCAAGGCGCTCCGTCGTCTCCAGCGCTTTGCGGGCGAGCCTGGCGCGGCACTTGGCCTCCGACTTGGCCGGCGCCGGCGGCTGGGCCTCCAGCCGCGAAGAATCGCAGTCGAAGCTCGGTTGCGGTTCCTTGGGCCGTTTTTTTTCTTCAAATAATACATAAACTAAGAGTTAGTAGTAATTAGTATTATTAGTATGCTTAGTTTTTGTTTGCACTTTTTGGTGGCCTTCTTGATTTTTTGGGACGCCTTTGGACTTTCGACATGTCAAGCGGCCTCCCGATCGCGCGTCCGAGCCAAGGAGCCTGGAGCGAGCGATCCGGCGCCTCGCGGAGGCGGACGACCTGCGGGTGGACAAGGCCTATGGGATCCCCGGCCCCACGGCCGAAGAACAGCACCCCCGCCCCCTTCGGCGCTTTTATTTTTATTTATTTTTGGGGGGGGAGCGGTTCGCGCCGGGAATTTCCGCGCCTTTGCGCTTTTTGTGCTTGTTTTTTTTTTTTTGCGGGTTTGGGTTCTTTGGCGCCATCGCAGATCCGGTTGGGGTTGGGGATTCGACGTGTGTTGTATATACCCTGCTCTTTTTGCAGGGTTCGGACAGGAGGCTCGTCGCATGCGTGGCTGGAGGCCGAAAGGGCTTAAAGCTGTTGAAGGCCGTTTGGTCCCTAGGTCCCCCAGTAGTGCCCCTTTCTCACCCCTTTCTTGGTTGGGAGGGTTCCCCTACTAAAATAGACTACAGAAGAAAAGGGTACCCTATTCTAACCCCTCTACTGGAGGACCTAGGTCCAGGTAAGGCTCTGGCGGCTTGATGGGCCCAGCTCGGGAAGAGATGGACCGCCTCTTGGACTCGGGCCAGCGGTTTCTGCTGCAGGCCTACCGCCAAACCAAGGCCGGAGGAGTCTGGGGATGTTTTTGTTTTTTTCATTCTACATGAGCTGTTTCATATACTACATGAGCTGTTTCATGTGCCGTTTCATATTTTGTTTTTACATGAGCTGTTTCATATCTTGTTTTCTCCTGATGCTCGCTCGGGGCCGAACACCGCTCCCTCGGGAGGATGATTTTTCCGGTCGGGTTGGGATGGTTTCTTCGGGCTCTCGGGGGCAACGAAGAACACAAGGCTTGCTCTGGCAGGGGATGCAAAAACAACATGGCCGCAAGCGATCCAAACAAGAACAAAAAACCAGCCCCAGGGCGTCGAGCGAGCCCTGCTTGGGGGCAAGGGCGACAACAGGGCCTACCTGAGCATCTAGAACATGTTCTCACAAATCCGTCATGCACGTGGAAGCGGTCTGATTCTTTCTTACACGCAGGGGAGTTGCAAGTCAACAAATTAACGGCACTTCACCTTCTAAGTTCCCTTTATGGATTCTTTACGGGTGCACAATGAAGTCCGACCTCCCCCTTTGCGGATGTGTCCTTTTGTTTTGAATGCCTTCTTTTGGGGTTGGCTTAGGGAAGCCCCAAGACCACGGCCCACCCCCCCCACCCACCCACCCAGACCGCAGCTCTGTCAGGCCCAGGCACCGGTCGGGGAAACAGAGCTCCATGGACTCTTCAAGATGCTGGGCCGGGATGGCCCGCCGCTATTGGAGCTGCTGGACCGCTTGGATAGCCAGGCGCGCGTGTTGTGTTTTTGTTTGTTTTGCTTTTTTGGGTTTGGGGGGGAAGAGTGAAAGGTGTGTGTGTGTGTGCCACAGCCTGAGACCAAAGGCTTTTTTCAAACAGCAGGGGGACAGTTGGTCTCTGTCCAACAAAGCCACCACACCGATCCTGGGAAAACGTACCTGCGAGTTGTTTTTTTGTAATTCATACCTCCGTGCACTGGCTAGCGGCTAGCGCGACTTGGCACAATGAGCCGCTACTACCTTTGACCTACTCCTCACGGGGAGCTTTTCACGGTGTGTGTGTGTGTGTGTGTGGGTGCGTGGTCCTCGGACCTACCGCTCGCGGAGCAGTCGTGAGCCTCTTGCGAGGCCTTCTCTGTCAACATCAGCCCTGACTGCTTTGACGTGATTCAAAAAAGCCTTGATCCACGCAGGGTTCTACGCGCTTGATCCATCTGACCTGATTGCTCAATCTTGGGCTGTGAGCGACTTAAGCCTTGATCCTTTATGCCTTGATCCATTCTGACTTGATCCATTATGCCTTGATTCTGACCAGGGAACTCTGGTCATGCCAGTTTGCAATGCGCAGCGTGGCCAGGGCTTTTTGATCTTGTTCTCCAAAACAGCCTGGCCCGCAGACAGCGACTGTCTGGCCGGGGCCGTGCGTGGAGGTGCTGACGTGTCATGTTTCACATGTTTCCTTGCACGCGGGTTTCACACCTGGTGCGTGTTTGGCAGGCCTTGGGTGGCCTGTGTTCTATGCCCTCTTGCCGGCTCGAGTCGAAGGCGAAACAAGTTACACCTGTTCAGGTGCCTAGTGCGTGTGTGCCACAGCCTGAGACCAAAGGCTTTTTTCAAACAGCAGGGGGACAGAGACGGTGTTGGTCTCTGTCCAACGAAGCCACCACACCGATCCTGGGAAAACGTACCTGCGAGTTGTTTTTTGGTAATTCATACCTCCGTGCACTGGCTAGCGGCTAGCGCGACTTGGCACAATGAGCCGCTACTACCTTCACCTACTCCTCACGGGGAGCTTTTCACAGTGTGTGTGTGTGTGGGTGCGTGCGTGCGTGTGTGCGTGTGTGTGTGTGTGTGTGTGTGTGTGTGTGCGTGTGTGTGTGTGTGGGTGCGTGCGTGCGTGCGTGCGTACGTGCGTGCTTGCTTGCTTGTTTGTTTGTCCCCATGCTTTCAAAGCCGAGGCAAAAGCTGATCTTTGCCCCTTTCCGAAACTGGGCTGTGTTTGCTTAAGCAAAGGCAATGCACATGGCAGACTCGAACCCATTGACATTTGGGTGACTTTTTCGAAGAAGCCAAAGGGATACCTTTTGCAGTTTTTGTTTAGGAGCACCATTTGGCTGTGAAACTGGTGGCATCAAACTTTGTTGGGGATGAGCAAGTCCACAAACCACCCAGATCATCCGAGGAATCCTCATATGAACTGACACCCCACTAAAAGGGGGGGTTCCCACCCCATATATATATATATATATATTTATAGATACATACATGCATGCATATATGCATGAAAAAGATGAACTACAACATAAGATGAAATAAACAAAGCAACATGAATAACATCCACCAACAAACATAGCAGTAGAATAATGAGGCGGTTTCCTCTTGGTTTCCCTTTAAAACCACCAAGCAAACAGGCACCGACTCCAAAAGACGAGCCGCCCATCTGGCTCAAGCCCCTCCCCGCCTCCGTGCAGGTGCTGGAGCCCATCTACATGCCGAGCTCCCCCAGTTTCGGCCAGGCGCCGTTTTTTCTTTCCCCCCCTTCCTCAAAACCAGAAGGAAGGGCGCCCAAGCCAAAAGACGGGAGGGAGGGGGCGGGGAGGGAAGTTGCTGTTATTTTTTTTTCTTCTGCTGAAGCACCCTGCTGTCTGCACTTCTTGGTCGATTTTCTTTAGTTGGACTATGCTTTGCAATATTTTCGCCCATGGTGCTCAATTGTTCCGCAGTCTTGATCGAAATTGTCGGTTTCACCGGTTGTTTTGGAGGTATGACGGTAAATGCATTCTTTTCTCAGTGGCGTGCAGTTGGGGCAAAATGACTCAAGTCCACCAAGGGGCTGGACATTTTGAACCACGAATTCCCGACAAATCTGGGGGACCCTTGGCTTGTAATAGACGGTTCCAACTTGCACAAGCATAATCATATGTATGGCATCCTATAATCATTTGCTAGGATCCATTGAGGCTCACCCAAGCAAAGTTGCAGGGTCGAAGGAAGCGTCCGTCAGCAAAGGAAGCAACAATTACCCGAGCATGGGGGGCATGTGGGTTTTACTGCAGATTTTCGCAGGAAGCCTCAGATCGTTAGTGGTGCCCTTTGTTCTTCCTTCTTCTTCTACACGAATACACAAACGACCCCATCAAATACCAAAGCCAGACCGACACGTGCTGTTTTTTTCCTCCATGGATCTCCACTTTCAGTTGGGGAAGCGAAAGGCTTAACCGACGGAGGTGCAGTTCCGAGTGCACCTGCTACCCACGCGGAACGTGGAGTCCAACCACGTGCGGGCCTTCTTCGAACTGCACTGCGACGCGGCGGGGCCGGTCGGTCGTCATGACTTGGCTTTCGAAACTCGCTTCACTTTAAAGCTTTTCGGGGAGATCAGGGGGAGAAACCATTTTAGTGGTGAACAACATGTTTGGACTTCGTTTGGTCAATCCAAAGAGGAAGTAAGAACAATTTTTAGTGGCACCTTGAAGCCACTGTTCCAAAGCCGCGAGGTCTTCAAAGATCTGGTGGAAGAGCATCGCCATGTGGAGAGGCCCATGCTGGTGGAGAGCCTTGGCTGGGTCCCGGACCGGGCTTGAAAGGACTCCAATGCAGCTTGGGACCCCCCGGCCCCTGCTCCCCACCCCACCCTCCACCCCCCACCCCCAACCCCCCCCACCCCCACCCACCCCGCCCTACTTCGCAGGTCCCCCCAGCCCCACTCCTCACCCCACCACCCCCCACCCCTCAGCCCCAACCCCGACTCCTCACCCCCCCCCAACTCCCACCCACCCCGCCCTGCTTCACAGACTGGGCCTCACCCCTCACCAGCCCCCACCCCCCAGCCCCCCCCACTCCTCACCCCACGAGGATCGGCACGCACCTGGGGGGCTGCATCCTCCACGCCTTGGCGCAGCTCCCCTCGAGCCGCGCCCTGGCCGTGGACGCCTACGGCCCCGCGGTGGCGGCGCTGCAGCGCACCGCGGAGCAGAATGGCCTGGCGGACAGGCGGGGGCCGAAGGTCGTGGTAGGTCGGTCCGGTTTTTTGCCGCAAAGGTGTGAAGACAGGGGTGCCGAAGGTGTGTTGACTGTGAAAACATGGGTGCCAAAGGTGTCAAAATGGGCGCCAAGGCTGTGTGAACTGTTTTTCTTGGGCATTCGACAAGAGTGCAGAAAGGAGCCCGAGAAAACCAATCGGGGTCTCCAAGTCATAAGGTATGGACGAGATTCCAAGGCGCTCTGGTCGGGTTCTGGAAACCTTGGGCGTCGAGAAGATCTTTCCAAGGGGGTTGGTTCCCTCCTTGGGCGTTTCGTTGGGGCTGGTTTTGAAGGGGTCCTTTTCTTTTGGCGGGTTGGAGGGCGGGTGGTGGTGGTGGTGGTAGTGGTGGTGGTGCTGGTGGTGGTGCTGGTGGTGGTGCTGGTGGTGGTGGTGGTGGTGGTGGTGGTGGTGGTGGTGGTTTTTAATGAGTTCTTGCAAAGGGAAACCTACAGGTGCTTGCACTTGGTTGTATGTGTTGGGCTGTTTGAGGCTAGTTTGCTTGATTTGGTTGAGTTTGTTGATTTGGGCATCGCGTCCGCTGACAAGGGTCTGTTCCAGAATGGCCGGGCCAGTTGAGGCTTACAGTGGTGGAGCGGTTCATTTGCCCAGATGACCGGAAGTATCTCGGCAGCACCTGCCAAATGGTTTCGGCAGTTGGTGGCTGGCACCCCCCATTTGGCATTTCATCTTTGCCACGCCGACACATGTGAGTTCAGCCAGACGCACGAAATGTGACATCGCTATTTTCATTGCACTCCCAGATCACGCTGTCAGCTATGTACTGGCTCCCTATATGTATTTATATATATATATAGATTCATACACACGTGATTTTCTTTTAAGCCAGATTTAAGCTCACTTTTTCGACCAATGGTAAAGCGGCAAGTGTACTTAACACCCACTTAAGCCATGGTTTCTCCAGTCTCCTTTCAGGTCATATAACTAAGCTCACTCGCACCGAGCCCCCTTGAAGTCATATAACTAAGCTTGCTGGGAGACAGAAGCCATGGCTTACGTGCCCGATCGCTTCGCCGGCGTACCAAGCCGACCGCCTCTCGAGTGGGAGCTCGCTGGGAGGTTCAAGGTGGAGCTGAACGCCACGGGGCCCACGCTGCTGCAGCCCACCTGGGCGGAGGTGGATTCGGCCGCGGGCGCTTCGGAGGGCGCGGATGGCTCGGAGGGCGTGGAGGTGAGCTGCACCGGGCTGGAGACGGTGTTCCGGGAGCACCAGGCGCCCGTTTCTCCTTTTTTTTTTGGGAGGGCATACCTTTTTCGGAACCGCCTTTTTTTCTTCTTTTTTCCTTTGTTTCGGGGGGGGGAGAAACCCACACCGTTCAGAGGTTACCCCCATGGACGCTCCTCTGAATTTTGCTTTTTGTTGGTTTCTCAAGTGCTTGTTTGGTTTCCTCCAGTTTTCTTGTTTTTTAAGATGTCTCTCTAAGGGTTCCTTAGGACGAAACACGTTTTTACGGACCGCCCTCCTTCTTCGGACCAGGTGACTGACGTGGACCTCCTGCGGATCCACGTGCTGGGCCGGGAGTACGACGCCCTGCGCTCGGGGGAGAGCTTCTTCGCGCGGGGCAAAATACGCACGGTGGCCGCCTCCGTCGCTCGATTCCCGGTCCATGCGGTGCGGTTGGGTGAGGCGGTCCCCGAAATGGGTCTCGGGCTACCATCAACCCCGGTTTATTAATAAGGGAGTGGTTTTTGGAGTGGTCTGATTCCCCACTAAACCTAGAAAACACCCCCCCTGTTAACATACCGGAGTTGATTAATAGAGGCGTTTCCATTAGTCCACAGCTCACGTTGGCTGGGTTGATGTGTCAAGGGGCAACACTTTCTGCAAAACGGTTTGGATGCGCTTTTTGTGGATTTCACCCGTTCTTCCCCTTTTAGGTTCCTTTTTTCTCTTTTGATATCTTGCAGGGGTGGGCTGTTTCATAGAATGCCCAGTGGAAGTTGCGAGTCAACGAGGCCAGGGTGCAAGTCCTGCCATGTTTCAAGGGTCTCCTTGATATGGGCAACCTAGGTAAGGTAATCCAGCTTCGCAGGGGTTCTGGTGCTAGGGGAGGGGGTTGGTGCGGATTAACCGTTTTGGTCATCAAATTAGAGGTTGCCCCTATGAAAAGTGTCAAAGCCATTCTAACACAATTCGCTGCTGACGTTCACCGAGTACAGACCCCAATCAAGGGAGGAAGGGAGGAAGGGAGGGGAAGGGAGCGGAGCGAGGAAAAGGGAGGACAGGAGCGGTGGGAGGGAGGGAGAGGACGTCCTACCCAGTATAGGTGTCCTTTTTGGTTGTTTTGGTCGAAAAATAGATGGGTTCCCCTGGTTTACCTGGTGGTTTTTTCTCATCTACCAGGGAAACCCGAGCATTTTGCTTGGATGTTAGGACTTCAACTTTTTGCCAACTCACGGGTTTTCCGTTAAATCACCAAAAGTCAAGCTTTTAGTGGGGGAGCAGAGTTAGCAACCGAGCTACCCAGTGCTTTCCGCGTTTCGGGTTTTGGGTCTGAGGTGAGTCAGCTGAACACTGAGCCCGGGAGCATGGCCGCCATGCTGCACCGCCACGGCTACCAGCTCCGGTTCCGCGAGTTTCGGGATGAGGACGTGGTGACGATCCTGAAGGACCAGGTGGGTTTTCGGCCAACACCGAAAAGGCCGCGGCAACTTTCTTTTTTTTTTTCCTCCCCTGACTTCCCTTGGACACCAGCCCAAAAGCGTGAGTTTGCTTTTGGCTTCCCTTCAAGACGCCAAGGGTTCCGTGAACTTCAAAGACCCGCCCAGGTGGTTCTTCCAAAGAGTACGCAGACCATGGTCGCACAACACGTGCGATGAGCAAAAGCGGTTTCAGTGCGAGTCGCAAAACAGGGGAGCGGATCAGCGGCTGGGTGATGGCGATATTCAATCGCATTGGGTTCGGCGAGTCGCTTGATCCCTACTGTGGATGGACGAAATCCTGCACCACCTAAGAAACCCTGGAATGATGATTCCCTTGTAAATACCAACAAGCAATGGTTTCCCATGGTTTCAAATTGGTGCAGGATTTCGTCCATCCACAGTATCCTAAAACTGACATTCGGGAGTCCCGGGAGGTTGTTTTTTGCTACTGTAACTGGGACTCCGGCCGGACTCGGAGAGGGAGCTGGACTCGGAGCGAGTTTCCGATGGGAGTGCTGGATAGGGACATGGAAATTCGTTTCATCAAACCTTTTTTTTTCTCTCTCGGTTTTCCGGCTGGGAGAGCGGCGGACATGTAGTGCTTCGCCACGTCCCAGGCCTTTGTGCTTTTTGGGAGGTGTGCTCGGGTTGGGTGGATTGGTTTCCGGTAAGTCAGATGGATTCGCGTTGCTTCCCACCAGGTTTCTCGGGACACTTGGGGAGCAGGCGTGTCCTCTGTAACAGGGTTGGGAAGAGATGGGGTGTTTTTTTTTTTTTAGAGCTTTGTTCAACGCCTGAGCCCCCCCCCCTTTCGCAGATACTGGTCAATGATCCCCGTGGAACTCCGCTGAAACTCCTTGGCCAGAGGAAAAAGCTCCGAAGCCTCGGGTGTTGTGGCTAGGTGGAGCAGGCGCTGGAGCAGGCCTTGCCCATGTTCTTGCAGACGGCCTGGGCGACTCGACCAGCTGGGAGAAGCTTTTGACCCGGTTCCGGGGCTGTTCACACTTGGTGGCTGCCAGGCATCCCCTTAGCTTTTAGCTTTTTGGGGCCAAACTCTAGCAGGGGATCTGAGGACAGCCCAGCACAGAGTGCCGGGGCAAGGCCATTGGGTCAGTCAAAAAGTTCAGAGGATCCCGTCGAAGACAGGTGGTTTTTGGATGTGTCCTTCAAGGAGCCTTGTTGGTGGCCGAAACCAGTTTTCTTTGGCACCAGGGTCATTGCCTTCTGTTTTGAGTTCTGTCTGGAGGGAGGGGTCTTTTTGTGAGTGGTCACTCCAAGTCCGCATCGACGAGTTGTTCGGCGGGGAAGGTTTTAAGTGCCGCTTTTACATACCCTGCGAGCAAATGACCCCTTTCACGGCAGGTGGCAGCTTTCAGTGGTGGGTCGGTAACCAGAGGGGGCTTGGGGGCAAAGTAGCTAGTCATTGTTTTTTTTCTTTCTTTTTTGTGATTCCCTACTTGTTTCTGCGCTGCGGTCCAAGTCACAAATCTGAGATGGTTTCCACTACCCGAAAACCACTACCCAAAGTAACAAACAGCGTGCATGCTTTTGTGCAGTGGCTAAATTGTGGTTGTTGTCTCCCATGAAACTCTTGTGGGTAGTGGCTTGGGGTGAGTGGAAACCCTTTGTATACCAGTCTATGCGGCAGTATTGCTGGGTGCTTGTTTAAGTTTCATCGCAACCGGGAGGGGTTGTTCAGCATGGATGGCATGTTCGCGGGTTTGAAGAAGCCACACGACTTGAGTGTCTCCAAATGGATCGGAGGCCCATCCAGGTGGTGGGTTTCTTGCTGGTTTCCCTAGCCCATCCTCAAAAGCAACAAGAGCAGCTGGCAAAACTGATTTGAGTCTCTTCGGTGGGGATGTCTTGATGTGGATTCCAGGAATCAAGTGGGCCACCCATTTTTCATTCGGTGTCCCTGGGGAGGCACGGCGTGGACTGCTTTGGCTCATACGGCCGTTTTTTTGTTTTTTCCGCGTTCGGTGTCTTTGTATTCTGCGCAGAGGCGGCGGTGGTCACGGACATCGACGGGACGGTTAAGGAGGTGGGCCGGAAGCTCTTGAAGGACACGCGTCCGCGCGTCCGGTACTTTTGGAGGGTAGGCTTCCCTTTGCTGAAGGCAATAGTTGTGCTTTCCCTTGCTTCCAAGCGCCTTTGCCTCAGGAGAGTGGCTTGGAGTTAGTGGGAGACTTTCTCAGATGTGTAGTAGGGAAGCTGACCAAAACCCGTGTTCCCTCATTTGGAACCTGTACAAGCACTTTCCATGTCTTGCACCACTTCTGTCATACCTACTGCTAGGAAACCTCTCCTGTATCCTTTCATGAGCGGCAAATTTTTGTCAACCCTCGTACAGATCAATCGCCTCTTTCAAGCGACCTTGGGTTGGGAGTGGCGAAAGCAGAATCAATGCTTGGTCCCAATTCTTATGCCGCTTTTGTGGTTTCCCTCAAGTGGATTCCCACGGATTACGGATCTTCCTAAATGACAAGTCTACAGGGCGAAGGCGCTGAGGGCACACAATTTTGCCTTTCAGGGAGGAGCTCAGGAGCTACAAGTTCTTTGCTTCAACAAGAACTTTGCTTCAACAAAACAAATTTTTGGCTTCCTGTCGCCAGGTGGTCACCAGGGGGGGCTGGTTGGAGCAAGGCGCAAGGGGGTTGGAGCGCAAGCCAGGACAAGTGGGGGTTGGAGCGCAAGCCAGGACAAGTCGGTGCCCTGGCAGATCCGCGTGAGGCGGTCGCAGGCGCTGCAGCGGCTGGGCCAGATCTTCATCGAGGAGATCGCACGCGATGCGTTTTTTTTTTTTTTTTGGGGGGGGGGTGTTGGTCTTAGGTGGGTTCCCGTTTTTTTTTTTTTGGGCGTTTGGACCGTTTTAGTGGCAAATGAGAAGCTCCTACCTTTTCTTGTGGTCAATTGACTCTGAAATTGAGTGTTTTCTTCTTCGTCTCAAGTTGGCATGTTCTCTCTTCTCTGGGGCACCTCAGAGAAGCCCAAAGTACATGAAGAAACACCAAGCAACCTCGCGTGCATCCGCTTTTTTTAAGGCTCGGTATGGGAACCAAAGGGGAACCAAAGCCCATCTATGTTCTAAATCTCCTACTTTGAGGGACACCCCTAGTGTGGATGGGAAAAAACCGGTTGAAGGTGAAGGGAAACTCCGATACTCCGAGACATCCCAACCATGAAACATGGCAGGCCATTGTGATGTTCCGATTTGCCGCAAGGAGGGCACCAAGGCCATGGCGGAGGGCGGGTCCACCAAGACCATGAGCTCGGAGGTGGCCAAGGCTCCTGGGGTTTGGTCTCGGCGTGGGGGGCGTGGGCGTGGGGGGCATGGGGTGAAGGCACGGTCTTCCGATCGATGTGGTGAAAGCACGAAAACTCCCTGAGTTGCTGGACTGGACTAAAAAAACACGGTCTTGCCACTGAAAAGGCGATCTGAGTGGCGGAAGAAGGATACTTTCTTGAGGCTACCCTTTTTGGGGCTGGTTTGACCGGAAGCCAAAGGGAAAGCCACCATTTTGAGGGGGGGTATCCATGCGTGCTGTGGGTGACAACACGCCTCTATTTGGGGTTGGGTGGGCCAATTCGCCTTTTAAGGGTTTCTACCGAGGGAACGATGACAATGGCCCAGATAGGGAGCTTCAACCATTGCACATGCTCCCCTCCCCGCGCACGTCACCGTTTTGGTTTCCTCTAGATGTTGAAAGGGAACTTTGGATGCCAGGCACTGTGGAAACGCCAATCGCGGCCGTACTCTTGGTCTCCATGCCCACACTATCCGCATAAATTCCGAAGCCCGCAACCCTCAAGGCTTTGGAAGCAAGAAGGGTTATTAGGGGGTGAAATTTGAACCCTCGGTTGAAAATAGAGGGACCCCCTATATACAGAGAAGGGGTCTTGATCAAGGGAAGGCCCATGACCTATCGCCCACATGAGCGCAGGCCGGCCGAGCATTGCCGTAGCTGTTGCAGCCCGCATTTTCCACGGCTAGCCAAAGCCAAGTTGTCAACTTGGGGGAATGCTGAACTAGAGGCAAAGAGCAGGTTGAGAGTTGAACATGCTATTTTCGGGGTTTTTGCCCAGTCAGACTGCTGAATGTGTTTTCAATGAAGGAGTTTTTCTCTCATACATCAGTGTGTCATTTTTGACGCTGCCCTTTTTGTAGTGTTTTGAAGTGGACCCAAAAAGAAACCACCCGCAATAAAGGGGGGGTTTCCCTCATCTGTAGACAAGCCGAGTATGGTGGGGAAGGCAAGCCGTTTTCCCGCCGCGTGCACCCTGCCCCAGACTAACATGGAAGCTGCCGAACGGACCCCTTTGGAAGACTTGGTTCCATTTGCGGAGGCCTTCTGGGAGCTTCCATGTTAGCCTGAGGGAGTGTAAGCCTCGGGTTTTGGACAGGCCACGCTGCAAGAGGCGCTGATGGCTTCGGTACAGAGCAGGAGCTCGTCAGCCAGCTGACGAGCTGAGGCTGAGTGCCGCTTGGCTTGCAAGGCAACGCTTCCATTTGGAGGTTTCTCAGAACCCACAGGGTGCCTGGTTGCATTTTGGGTTCTCACGGTTACAGGGTAAATTTGAGGATGTTAGTTTGATAAGCCTAGAATGCCTTTCTGTCAGTTTAAAGGCAGCAGGAAGCCTGTCCGTGAATGGGTTTCCATTGGCTCCTAGCTTCGGCCCATAAGTCCGTGTGTGAATCCCCCGTTGCGCGCTGCATTTGCGCCAGTTGGCAAGTTTGAGGCTCGCCAAAAATCCCTCAGAGTTTGGCCTGCAAGCCGCGTCCTAGGTTGCCACCCACCATGTTCAAAATGTCTACCTTCGGCCTAGCCGTGTGAACGCGGGCCGCTGGGCCGGGCCCCTGCATTTTCCACTCGATTTCGCGGATTTCGCGGCCAACAGGGCCCTTGCCTGTCAATGGGCAGAAAGGCAGTTGAGTTGTCATAGGAATGCCGCACGCTTGTAGGCTATCTCTTTCGAAAACACGTTGCCCAACAGTGTGGGGTTCCTTCACAAGGTACGCCAAACTTGCCGGGAAACATGTAGGACCACCTTGAAAGGGAGCGGTGGGAGATTCGGCTGCAGTTGGCTCTTGATTTTTGTTTTTGCGGCGTTTCGACCGCCTTTTTGCAACTACTTTAAGAGCACTGAAGCTCTGACCCTGACCATTGGGTTTTACACGCTGTCTCCAACACCATCCATTTTTGGTGCTGGGGTCCGCCGAGTGCTGCAGCTCGGATGGCCCCAGATGAAGGAGTCTTGCAGCTGTGCAAGCGGGGAAAGCTGCCGCAAAAAGAAGGTCCAAGAAGCTGCCCAGTTTGAGAACAGAACTCAGGGAATCCTCAGTTGTTGAATTTGTGATTGGGGAACTTAAGCCCATGATCCTTATAAAGGCTAAATGGGGACACCCCTAACCCCACCAATACAGAGTGCGTCAGCGGCATTCTCCGTGAAGGGTGAGCACTCGGCTCAGACACCTCTCCGGCAGGTACAGGCACGTGAGAGCCGTGCAGTCACGCTCGAAGTTCGAGCATTTCGCGCGAAAACATTGGCCAGGGTGAGCACGAGTGAATGGCTCTGGAGTCTTGGGTTGGTTTTTCAGGTTGGCCAAGCGGGTTTTGTTTCTGCGTGCCGTTTTCCTTGTTGTTTCGGTCGCATCTTTAACTATTTAATAGGCCCTCACTCTACACCCAAATTGACTCCGCTTGGAAGGGATAGAGTAGTCCCCGTTGTCCAGTGGCACCGTTTTGCCCTTTGGTCACCTCAAGAAACCCGTCCCTTCCCTGGTTAGCCTGTTTGGCAGTGGTCCCCCAACTTTTGGTTGGCTTTGGCAAAGCAAGAGGAAGCTACTCATGGGGTAAAGCTTGTGAGGATTTGTGGCCAACTCTCTCTCCGTCTCTCTGCCATGGAAGCAGGAAGTGAGACTCCAACTCATTGAGCGTTGGCCCATGGGCAGGCCCCGCAATTAGGCCCATAGGCCGTTAGATCGGACCTACCCGGGTTTCCGTTCTGGTTGAGCTCAACGTTTTGGATTTTTTCCTTGGCTTGGCCACAAGTCACCCAACCAAAGTCTTTGCGGGCGGAGGTATCTTGGGTGAGAACAGCCGACGCGTAGTTCACTGACGGCCGTGCACGGTCGTGTCATTCCGTGCAGCGTTCAAAGTGCCCAGTTGAGCCTCAATCAAACCCGGGTAAGTGAATAGTAAGGGACAATCCCAGCCATAAATGGGTGCGGCCGCCTTCTGAATTCTTTACATGGTTCTGGGTTCACCATTTTTGTACCAGGTTTTGATTACGACTCAGTTTCACCGGTGATGTCTCCAACGACGGGGGCAGGGCCCAGGGACCTAAGCAGTTGGGCCACCAGGCCTATGCAAGCCGGGACTTCCAGACGGCCACAGCAGCTCAGCCGCCGTCGGTCACACTTTGCTGGTGGTCCTTTGGTCCACCTGGCAGGGGCGAGGTGGAGACTCACTCACTAATTGTCCAATGTCCTCTTGGGAAGTGCCTTTGACCGTTGCTCACATGATGCGTGTGTCCGAACGAGCTTGTTTACTTTGGCGGGGGCAAGCCGCCGCCCCTTTGCCACGCAAACTCACGGAGCTTGAGAATTCGAACACTATCCGTTGTCTGCACGCCGATCGCATGACAAAGAAAAGAACAACAACTAAGCCAGGTAGCGTTGATCAGGGCACATCACATGTCAACCCACTTGCCCGCTGAACGTGGTAGAGGCTAGTCTTACTACTCTTACTACACCTCCATAGAAAACACAAGGGGAAGACCCGAAGACCACGTGGTGTTTTTAAGGGGCTCATAGTAACTGCGAGTTTACACATATGGTACCTTAATTACTAACTTTGAGTTCGAAGCAGTTTAGGGGCTACAATATGGGTCTATATAGTATGGCACTTATAATTAAGGGCCATCAAGGGGCTATAACTACGTCACTTTAGTACTAACTTTGAAGTTCCCCCGTTGTAATTAGAAGATTTGGGACGTGAAGGCCAGGGGACTGCAAGACGGTAGGACGACGGGACGGGCAGGGAGACTCGCGGAGGCTGAAGCCGACCGACGACACAAACCGACAACGCTGAACACAGCCCTTAGGTCTCTAAGCGGGAAACCTTTCGCCCCTCTCCCCCCCCCCCCAAACTGTGCGCTTTTCCACGTGCGTTCTTTCCAGCCCCAAGAAGGTTCGAGGGGGGTTTTACAACTATTTAGGTGTTGTTTTTTGATTACAACCATTTAGATGTTGTGTTTTTTGGTGAAGAATGGGCCTAGTTATTGCAGGGTGGGCTGGTGGCAAGCGTCCTCCCCTCAAAAGCGGCCAAGGAATGGTACTCGGAAGCCTTGGAGACACAGCCGGACGCCGCATGCCCCCCAGGGCCTCGGGGCCTCGGGGAGGGTGCGGGGATCCGCGGGTTCATTCCCCAACCCCCTCCAAACGATTGCTGTGAACCAGCAAGGTAAAGGATCGAGCCTTAGCTGTAGGGAAAGCAGGGGTTTAAGAACATTCCCCGGGTCAACTCTTTGGCCAAAAGCAGCTGGTTTCGGGTGTCTGTTTTTAGGGGACCCCAAAAGTTGTGGTTTTCCTGTTGGCTTCACTTGCAAAGAAAGAACTAACAACAAACACAAACAAACAAGAGGTGACCTCAACAGTGGTGGCTTTGCTGCCTTGCAAGGAACAAAGCACAAAACACAGCAAAGGCAACCTCCAAAAGTCAGACGCACAGCCGCAGCCATGAATCCATTTCTGCCGCTTGGAAGCCTCAGGTGCTGCTCTCCAACCGCTCGGCCAGCTACGCGCAGCGCCGGCGCTTCGACAAGGCCGGGGACCGTTGCGGCGCCGTTCAGATGGAAGGGAGTACTTTGAAGGGCCTTGCCTGCAGTAGTGAATGGGGTAGGGTGCTCTAAAGTTCTTTATGTGTGGGTTTGTTTCTTGGTGGAGGGTACCCTTGTTCTGACACCAGGGTGTGGGACAAATCATTGCGACGTGACGGCACAAAAGTCCGGCTAGCGCCAAGAGACATGTTTCGGGTTCCAATAGGGCAGATCCCTTTCACGAAAAAGGGCCGATCCCGTGTCAAAAGTTTCGGACAAAGGACATCGCAAGGGGAAAGCCCTCGGTGGCGCAGAGGTCGAAATATCTTTCGGCAGCGTTGCGCCCACGCCCGTCACGTGTCAGCGTTTCGTGGTTGGATGTGGTACACTCGTGGTTGCAACCATCAGGCGAGGGGTGGGGGTTGGCAGCACCGCGTGGTTGCAGCGGCAGTCACTTCTGCAGGCGGCTGCGGGTCTCCAGAGCGTTTCGGCTCATGAGGCGCATGGCTTACTGGCAGCTAAGAACATTGCGCTGGCCGGCCTTGATGAGCAGGCATGAACGAGCAAACGAGCCGACCAACCAGACAAGTGCCGCCAAACAGCTGCCAAGTGTTGTCATTGTTGTTGTCCGTCTTTGGCCAGATTACAGCAAGTTTTATGAGTTGCGGGGTTCCATTTTTTTGGGCTGACATGTAGAGCTGGCCGGCAGCCAGGGATATGGCTGCCAGGCAAAGGTGGAGCCCAGGTGATGCCGTGTGGCTGCCAGACAAGGACCCTGGGCGGTTTCAGCTTGCAGGGTGTGGGGACCCAGAGCACCATTGCTTTGGGGGGAATGCCCCTTTGATTGTTATTATTGTTAGTATTGTTTTTATTATTCATATTATCATTATAATTGTTACTATTATTATTATTACTATTATTATTATTATTATTGCTATAGGTGTATACAATATATATATATACATATGTTTTTTACTCCTTACTTAATCCGGAGTCTACACTACCTTGTGGCCGCCTTATTCATACAACTGCAATTGGCCGGACTCTTGGAGGAGAGAGCCGCTGGATGTTCTTCTTGTCGGGTTTTGTCGGGGGGCAAAAAACACATTTCCCGCGCATGGTGTGGGCACAGTTTGTTTTACTTTTTCATTCCCCCACCGACAAGGAAGTGGACAGGCTTCCTTTCCAAGAGGAACATTGTCTTCCACAACGCGTTTGTGCTCGTCCATACTGCGGCAAAGCGGATGGGCGGGCAGTGCCGGAAGAAGTGGCCCCATCCAAATGGTGGGCATTCACATGTGCTTGAAAGTTGTCCAAGAGGCGGTGTCATTGCTTGAGTATATGTGTGAGCCGCGCCTTGGTTCTGCACTTCTGGCTTGCAGGGCCAAACCGGCTTTTCAGTAGCGGGAAAACCCTGCCGCTTGGGGTTCTGGGCTGAAGTCCTTGTGTGCAGTAATGTTGATCCGGATGAAAAAACCTGTATTTGTTCATCTGGCGATGGTCATAACCTATGCCTCCACCCCGGGGCATTGATGTTCACCAGGGGTACAGGGTTTTGACCCACAGCCATATGTTCATATGGGTGTGTCCCGTGTTTTAGCAGGGATCCGTCACTTTTGAGGGGAACACGACCCCATATTCAATAGGGGTGTATGAATCCTGGGTCAACACTACGTGGTAGGCCATCATGCAACCTTACTCAACACATCGCTCAATAGTTCAGGCAAGCGATGACTAGGCTCCAGGGCCGGCCATGGGAAGACTCCTCTCCCTTGAAGGGGCGGGCTTTTGTGCCCTTGTTTCATGCACCATCCCATATGGGTGTGCCTCTTTTAAGGGGACCCTCCAAAATGATGGTTTTTGTTTTCTTGGTGGCTCCCAGCCATCCCCTTAGCCTTTTGGCTTCCAGTGTTTAGTGGTAGTTTCCATTTAACCCACCAAAAGTTAAACCTTGAGCGGGGAATCTGAGGGCAGCCCGGTTTTGGTTTCCCTGTACAACCGCAAAAACAAAACTGAGGCGCCCAGGGCGCCCCGGCCACCGTTTTTTTTCCATCTTTTTTCTTCGGCGCAGGAGCTCGCGTTCCGGGCCTGCGTGGCAGGAGATGGCCAGGACCTTTTTTGGGGTCGCTGAGGTTTGGTTCAGATCTCAAACGATTATATGGCCATGGGTCAAAATCCCGTACCCCCAGTGAACATTCCAATCCAACCACTAAAATAGACTAACATGGGTGGTGCACCTACCCCAAAATGGTTCCATTGGTTTTGATCCACAGCCATATGCCTTTTTTTAGGTATTCTACATTGAGAGCGTTACTTTTTTGGTTTTGTTTGTTTTAATCTTTTAATCTGTTTTTTCCTCCGGGGTTGGCTAACTATGAAACGGAGTTTTTTCTTGGAGTACCCCAGATGTAGGTTTGGGTGTGTTTTGCTTTGAGGGCACTCATTTTGGGGTCGCCAGGGGTACTTGGTTGGCCCAAGAGCCCTCCCCCGAACCTTGCCAACCCCCGCCATGTTTCTAAGTGTTTCCCAGCCATCCCCTGAGTTTGTGTTTTTCCTGTTTGTAGTGTTTAGTAAAGAATCCCACATCCACGAGAGAAGTGAAACCAGCCGGGGATCCGAAAATGGCTCCGGCCGAAAACGGCTCCGGCCCTTTCCGCCCAGGAGCTACCGGCGGCGCTGCGGCGCGAGCCGCGCTTCCCCGCCGCGGGCTACGCGGACGCGGTGGAGCTGCGCTGGGCCAACGAGGCGTTGGCGGCGGCCAAGGTAGGGAATGAGAATTGGCATCACCCCAAGAACAACCATCCAACTTGCTGGTGGTTTCCTCTGATTTCGGGAATTTGACCCCTATAAACCATCCAGCTGGTGGTTTCCTTGATGAGGGAATGATGGTTGGATCTTTACTTTAACTTCTTGGGGGAATCAAGTTGCGTTTTCCACTAACCCCCAAAAGTTGCTCACTTTTTGCAGGGGTGTCGTTGCAGCAACCAAGAGGTAGGGACTGAGAAATGGAACGAAGCTGGGAACAATCTGCAGATTCCCTGAGATAGAGGAAACCACCAGCAAGTTGGATAACCTGAGATTGGAGGAAACCGCCAGCAAGTTGAACGGTTTTTTGGGGTCATTCCAATTCTCATTGAGCAGCAGCGAGTCTTTGGGTCGTTTTCTGGGGTGCCAACGCCTCAACCATGGGCTACTGGATGTATAAATCGGCTTCCCCGATGAGGTTCGGATGCCACACGAGTGTCCAGCGCAAATGATCGGAACCGATTCGTCTACTAGAACCCGAATTCTACTTCCAGATCAGTTCCTGATCAGGGAGCCTAATGTTAAATCCATTGAGAGAGAATGCTTTGCTCTTGGCGAACCTCCCCCCCCCCCCCCCCACCAGGTTGATGGATGTCGGGGTCGACATTTCTGGGAACCCGACAAATCGCCCATATGGGTGGACAGAACCCCACCCAATCAATACGCGTTTCACGCCTCTGGGAAGAAATGACCCACCAAAGGGTTCCTGATTTTGTTGGTTCTTAGGACCCAATGCACAACTGAGCCATCCAATTGGTAGTTAAATTGCAGGGAATCCCTGTCCATTCCCAAATGCGAAGAACGACCCCAGCAGCCCAAGCCTGTTTCTGGTACCCGATTGGGATCCTTTTTTAGGCTTTGGAATTAGTGTTTGAGTACCTTTTACAGGCCCCATAAGAAGCATTGGATTGGTCTTTGCCGGGAAGCAGGAGAAATGATCAGGTTCGGACTGTTCAAAACTTCCAGCGCATGTAATTTGAGAAGGGTTCCCAGACATTAGACCTGTAGCCTTTTTGGAGCTTAGAGTTGGATGTATTCACCTATCCCACGTCCTGTTGTTTTGAGTTTCTGCCGAAGGGATAAAGCACCAAGTTGCCGTAGGCCAACTTGCTGGAGAACCTGTGCCTGCGGTACCGGCAAGGCGGTTTTGCGATTTGGGTGGATGGAAAGGGTGGAGCAGGGGAGGTTTGTTGGTTTCCTTGAAAGCCACACTAAAAATGGCACCCCAAGCAAACAAAGAAGAGGGGCCTCAACTTTGCGGGGATGTTCCAAAAATGCCCACTGGGGTGTGGGAAGCGTCAAATTCTCGTCCCAGTTTGGTACGTCACTTGCCCGATCCACAGTGAAACGATGGCCAGCGAAAACGAAGGAACCTACGAGGCTGAGGCAATGGAGGGGAAGCACGGCCACCCAGAGAGCCCCTTTGTGGCCAGCCTCTGACAAACGTGCGAGGTGTCAAGCGGAGGCTCTAGAAGGGATTCGCTGGCAAGGGCCGGGGGCTGGCGTTTGAGGCTTGAAGGGAACGCAGAAATGGCCGCCCCACTTGCCACTTGCATGAAGGGTGGGCTTTAATGTGCACTGCCACATTGTTTGTGGGACATGCAAGGAGTAGGCCAACACCTGGTGACGTTGTGACGTTGTGGAACATAATAGGTTTTCCGGACTTTTTTGATGCCGCGGGAGGCCTTATTGAAGAAGAAGTAGCCATAGGGCCATACGGATCTGGCTTGGCAGGTCAAATCTACACCAACGTGTCCCATGTGCTGTTGGCCATCAATCCTCACCGCCAGCTTCCTCACCTCTACGGGGAATCGATGATGAAGCGGCTCGGTTGGCCTCAGCCGGAGGTCATTGTCTTTTATTCCCTTTTCAAAAGCGCATTCTGCACGATGCACGGTCACGCAGTTTTTTTTGTGCTGGCTCTTGTCTCAAGATGGCTTTGATGCGTACTTCTTGCGATGAAGGGGCCCGTTTCGAGGACTGGGTGTGGGGAAGGCGCATTTGGTGAGAAAAGCCCAGGATGAATAGACCCCTGTCCAAGAAAAGCCAACCAGGGATTTAATCTTGGGTTCTCATTTGTTGCTTTGAGGTGGGGGTGGGGGTTGCGGGGTTGCATGTTGCTGGTCTGGGGCACCGAGGGCTGCTTCAACTGGGGTAGTGGGATCTATTTGCAACCGAAGCGAATCAATTTGATTGCCTCTCGCGACCCTCCGAAAATTTAGGCGCGGCGACCCCCGTATCCATCGGGGAGGTCGAGCTCACCGCGTACGTTTTTGGCCGGCTGGCCCATCCCTCGTGGTTGGCATTTTGAATGAGGGTTCGACAGTTGGCGGGGATACCGGGTCTTGATTTCGGCAAAGCCTTGCCTCAGGCAGGCTGGTCCACACCCCTATACCGTGGCTGCCTTGGCTCTGCGCCGGCGCCGGCAAGGACCACAGGTGAGGAGCGGGGGTTCATTGACAGATCCCCGTTGCATGGAAACATTTGCACCATGGTCGAAGCACTTTCCGGGGGCTGGGAAAAGTAGTCAACACCCGCCACACGGGTTACCAGTAGGGAGGGATCGAGTTTCGACCAGGGTGCGTATAAGGCGTCCTTTGTTTTGTTGTGTTTTGCTTTGCCCTGTTTGCGTTCCATGCTCATATTCTGGGGGGTATGGAATCCTTAGGGTTAGGCTCAGGCTCCCGGCCCCAGATATTCGAAGGCCAAGTCTCGTGCCCAGTTTTCCCGCTTAAGTTGAGCAGGGGCCCCCCACACTCTTTGGCTTGGCGTGTGCCCTTAGGTTCAAGATCTCACCGCGGCCGCGCGGCGGGCTTTTTGGCTTTTGGCTTATCCCCACCTAATTAGCTGATGCTTGCGAGAGGGTCTTCAGTACGTGCCCCTTCCGCTTTGGGTCCCCAAGACCGCGAGGCCATCGTGGTGTCGGGCGAGAGCGGTGCAGGGAAGACGGAGACGGCGAAGATCATCATGCGCTCGCTGGCGAGGCTCTCAAAGGCCCACGGCTCCCTTTATGTCCCCTTTGGAATAGGCCCAAGAGGCGGTAAAAAAGGAAATGCAGGACATCCTGCCACGCAAAAAAGAATAAATGGGTGATTGCGCTCTGTACTTCCTTTGAACATCCAAAAGGGTCACCCATGCTCATAAAGCGCGCATGGTTGTGGGGGGGCATTGTCTCAGTTTCTGGACTTGACACCTGGGCTCATCTTGCGAATGGTGTCGAACAATCGCCTTTCAACTCCAACCTTAACACTACTCTCTGGATGAATGGTGGCTATGGACAGCTTTGGAAATACGACCCTCCCCTCTAACATGGAACCCACTTAGGGGATTCCCTTCAAAAGTGACCAACAACCCTCTTTTCATGGGACCGTTCCGGCCAACGGTCTGGAACTTTCTGTGGCAAAGGGGATCCCCCCACTTGCGCACAGAGATGGATGGCGAGTTCCATCGCGCCGAATGCCACGGATGCGGGGCTCCGGGACCCCCGTTTTTCTTTGGTTGGTTTACGTTCCAGGCAGCCTTTGAGCCTTGGGGGGAAGTCTGGTTTATACATGGGCTATTCACCTGTTTCGCTTCGAAATTTGGATGCATGCCAAGCTGCGTGCACCAAGTCTAGACGGTGGTGCCAGATCATGAAGGGGATCCTTTAAAAAGTGTTTGTGGTTGATTTCATGGTGGTGAAAACAATATTTTCTCACTCAGAAAGTTGAAGCGCAACTGACCATAGCAGGAAGCAACCAGAGACTGTTTGCAAGTCAACGGCCACCGCGTGAGTCCAACAACTTGAGCCAAGGCTACTTGGAGGTGACTTCCCAGAAGGAGTTGCCGGAGAAACTGACGGCCGTGAGCCGAGCTCTTTGGTCAGAATCAGGGGTTGGTTGGAGGACCGGAATCAACCTTCCTGACTCCCAACGAGTTTCAAGCGCTCCTTTGGAGTTGTGGGGAGGCGACGCTTTCCGTAGTCTCAAATTCTGCTTTCCGTAGTCTTGGTGCCGACCTGTTTAAAACAGACTGCGATTTGGCTTCTCCGTATTAAGCCTACAAAGGGTGATCAACCTTTCTCGGAAAGGGCGGAGGGAGCCGCCCGGGGCGGTGGTTGCAACATCGGGTTGCCGGAAGGGTCGAACCAAGTGGCCTGCCTCAGCAGTGGAGCACTTGCAAGTGCCGGTGGATTTGGGCTTGTGCTGGAATGGGGGCTGGCTTTAATTAGGTTTTCTTTTGGGCCGATGGCCCCAATTGTCGGAAGCAGCATTTAATGCCATTTGTGCGCCTGTGAGAAAGATGATCATGGTACATGCGCAGCCAGCCAGTCCTTGCATAGTTTGCATGCTGCTCGGTGGGCTGCACGTTCGCTTACTAGCATGTGCACATGTATATTTGCTTAGGATGCTCCTGCTTTGGAGCGCCCTCAAAAACGTCTCGCGGTCATAAATCTCCAAGAAAATAATGTTAACCAAAAAGTCCCCAAGCAAAATCCAGACCCAGTTGGGTGAGTGTTGGGGCTTCGGTTTCCTGGTGGTTTCCGAAAGGCGCCCCGGTCCCTTGGTCGGGGCAGGTCTTGGAGTCGCTGGGGCACGCGGAGACGCGGCAGAACCCCAACTCCTCGCGCTTCGGGAAGTACCTCACGATGCGGATTGGGAGGCCGGGTGCGTGCTTGTGTGCGCGTGTGTGCGTGCGTGTGTGTGGCAAACAAGTCGAGGGGAAGGCGATGAGATACCGTCTCGGTAGCTACAAACTATGCCAACTGGAGATTGGAGGTCGTTAGTTGCACGACTCCTTCAGCACTTTATGAGAAACCGCCTTTGGGCTCCGGCAACAAATCCCGAAGGAGGCGAGCCAGGCAAAGGACCCCCAGCAGGGGTTTTGGGTTGGCTTGCCAGGCACCTTTTGAAGCGCAACTGGGTCTTGCATGGGGGTGTTGAATTGGGCCAAGAGGCAGGATGGCCTTGGGCCACGGTGCACTCGGTAGATGGAGGAGAAAGGACAACTCAAGGCAGAAGCCGCCATGGCAGCTCCCCTGATTACCTCGCAGGGAGCACGCAGACAAGGCAAGTGTCATTCGCGATTCCCCTCCTTCTTCCTCAAGAGTGGAACGCGGGGGAGGGTTTGGCTTCAAAGCTGTTTGTCGATTCTTGACTTACTTAGGGAGCGCCGAACACGGTTTTTTCAACAGGCGCCATGAGGCTTGGGGTTTTGACAGCACGCCGTTGCAAGGCACAGCATCTCGACCCAAGTGACGACCTACATGCTGGAAGCCAGTCGCGTGATCGCGGGGGGGCGGAACTTCCACATCTTCTACGAAGCCCTAGGAGAAACCCCAAGTTCAGTGGAAACCGCCCTCCTGGCTTTGGTGTGACCCCCCAATTGGCCCCTTAGACCTCTTGCAAGCCAAGTGGCCGTTCCATGAAACCTGCAAAAGCTCAGGGCGAATGGGACAATCTCTCTCTACCCTCCAAACCACCAATGCAAACCACCAAGGAGGAGGGCAGCTAAATCCACCCCCTTTCCAACTAGCATAGAGGTGGAGGGTTTTGAAGCCCCATACTCTTGAAAAGGCCCCTGGACGTTAGGAAGTAAGGGTTTGGGACGCGCTAGAACATGTAATCAAGAAAAAGGGTTCCCTTTTTTACCAACTTCGCTTGGCAATCGGGAGCAGGGCGGCTTTCAAGTTTCTGCTTGTTCAGTGGGAAACGAACATTGGGAAACGAGCAATCTGTCTTGTTCCTGTCGATGACTTGTTTTTTTTTTGCTCAATAATATTTTTCGATTTTCCCACGTTTTTTTCAAGGGGATCTATCACTTCCGGGTTGAACGTTTTTTTTTTTTTTTTTTTTTTTTTTTTTTTTTTTTTTTTTTTTTTTTTTTTTTTTTTTTTTTTTTTTTTTTTTTTTTTTTTTTTTCGGGGGGGCGAGAAAAGGCCACGGGACGTTTAAAGCGGGCTGGAGGCGTTTCCCCACGGTGGCGCGTCGAGCCTCAGAAACTGGAGCCGCGGCACCCATGTCGTCACCTATTTGGGCTGGGGTCGCTGCTATGCAGCTAAAAAAGGCCGCCGGTGTCTATAGACTTACGAAGCAGCTGGTAAAGGCTGTAGGCACCCTTTGAGCCCTAAACCCTAAGCCCCAAACCCTGATCCCTAGTCCCTAAATCCCAAACCCTGATCCCTAGTCCCTAAATCCCAAACCCTGATCCCTAAACCATCCTAAACCCTAAACCCGAAACACCCTAAACCCATGCTGGCAGAGGTTGCCTTTTGCCTGGGCCATCCTTCCAGCACGGCGCTCGCTCGAGGAGCCGAGCCGGGCCTGGGCCCCGCCTGGGCGGCGCGCCGGAAAGAGCTGGAGGCGGCGCTGGAGGCGCTAGGCCTGCAGGCGGCGGCGGAAGATGCGACCTGTGTGATGGGCGCTGGGGGTCGAGTTTATATATATATATATATATATATATGGTCACCCCCCCCCCCCAGGGCCTACCTTTCTACTTTTTGCATGAAAGAGATTTTCTTGCAGATGTTCAGTGTCCACTTGGTTTGCAGATGCCTTGCAGAAAGCACTGTAATTTACGGTGTTTTTGTGCAATTTTTGATATTGTCTCAGATGTGCTTTCTGTACTTGATGCAAAACAGGATTCGAGAAAGCAACAAACACGAAAACGGAAAGCGTTTTCAGATGCAACTTTTTCAGTTGTGAAATCACTGTTATTTGCAGTGTTTTTAAAGGAAACTGCAAAACAACACCTTTTTTTTAACGTTTTTTGATGGTTTCAGCCTCAAAACCTGCACAGGCTCAAAAAAATGCAAACACAAAACCAAACCTGGAAGCTCCAAAACCTGCACAGGCTCAAACAAATGCAAAACATGCAAAACCCAGATGCAATGTTAGAGGTCAGGGCTTGATTGGTCTGGATTTTGCATTTTTTGCATTTGTTTGAGCCTGTGCAGGTTTTGGAGGCTTGGGTGCTTAAAACCTGCACAGGCTCAAAAAATGCAAAAAATCCAAACCTGGAAGCTCCAAAACCTGCACAGGCTCAAAAGAATGCAAAAAATGCATATATGTTTTTTGCATTTTTTGCATTTGTTTGAGCCTGTGCAGGTTTTGAAGCCTTCGGTGCTTAAAACCTGCACAGGCTCAAAAAAATGCAAAACATCCAAACCTGGAAGCTCCAAAACCTGCACAGGCTCAAAAAAATGCAAAACCCAGATGCAAGTCAGAGGTCAGGGCTTGATTGGTCTGGATTTTTGCAGTTTTTGCATTTTTTTGAGCCTGTGCAGGTTTTGAGGCTTCCTGGTTTGGATTTTTTGCATTTTTTTGAGCCTGTGCAGGTTTTGGAGCCTTGGGTGCTTAAAACCTGCACAGGCTCAAAACAATGCAAAACATCCAAACCTGGACGCTCCAAAACCTGCACAGGCTCAACAAAATGCAAAAAATGCAAAACCCAGATGCAAGTCAGAGGTCAGGGCTTGATTGGTCTGGATTTTTGCATTTTTTGCATTTGTTTGAGCCTGTGCAGGTTTTGGAGCCTTCGGTGCTTAAAACCTGCACAGGCTCAAAAAAATGCAAAAAACATCCAAACCTGGAAGCTCCAAAACCTGCACAGGCTCAAAAAATGCAAAACATGCAAAACCCAGATGCAAGTCAGAGGTCAGGGCTTGATTGGTCTGGATTGTTGCAGTTTTTGCATTTTTTTGAGCCTGTGCAGGTTTTGAGGCTTCCTGGTTTGGATTTTTTGCATTTTTTTGAGCCCGTGCAGGTTTTGGAGCCTTGGGTGCTTAAAACCTGCACAGGCTCAAAAAATGCAAAAAAATCCAAACCTGGAAGCTCCAAAACCTGCACAGGCTCAAAACAATGCAAAAAATGCAAAACCCAGATGCAAGTCAGAGGTCAGGGCTTGATTGGTCTGGATTTTTGCAGTTTTTGCATTTTTTTGAGCCTGTGGCCAGCTTTGATGCCATTGAGAAACCAAGCCATTGAGGTAATGAGTGCTCTACTGATAAATCAGATGCTTACAGGACAGCCTTTGATATAACAGTGCAGCAGTGATGACACACACACACACAATCATCAACCTTTTAGGACCACATGCCCAAACCACATCAAACAAGGCCCCAAATGAGTGTCCTTTTCTTCCCAAACAATAGTTTCCACTTGCTACGCAATAAGCCTACAGAAGGTTTATAATCTTTCAGAAAAGTTTATAAACCTTATTGAGTGTTTGACGAGTTTCCCGCATCAAGGCAACAACACCCTACGAAGTGTTCATGGTATCGTTGAAGGAGGGGGGGGGGTGGTTGGTTGGAAGTCTTAGCAGTGAGGTGTGACTCAGCCAACTTTGTAAAGACTTCTCAGTACCCCCCCCCCCCTCCCCCCCCTGCCCTTGTTGCAAGGAAACCGTCAAACCCTTGACATGGTTTATAAACTGTCTTGAAAGTTTATAAACTCTTTGCTGTTGTTACTCAACATGACTTGTCACCCACAAACAAATATGCAGCAACAGCACACTTCTTGCGTATATATGCTCACACCCCCTGTCCTTAAAATAAGAGGGTTTTGTACATTTTGAAGTGGAAAGGTAGGCCCTGGGGGGGGGGGGGTGAGCATATATATCTATACATAAGTATATATATATATATAAGTATATTGTTTTTTTTATTGCAACCTCCTGGATTTTGGGTGGTGGCAGTTTTTGGAGGGTGTGAGTCTGAAAGATGGACTCTGAGTCTCCATGGCTCGGATCGCCGCCCTTGTCCTCAGAAGCGATTAGAAGGGTTCTCGGCTCGATCAGAAGACCCAAAGGTAAAAAGACGGCTCCCTTTTTCCCACCAGAACGGGGGTCGCTGGGGATCGCTTTGGCAGGCGCTGACCACCCCTTTGCTCCGCGCGGTGGCTGGGATCTGGCGCATTCTGCAGCACCTGCGCGAGGGCGAAATCGAGGAGGACGGAAAGGGTTGGGGTGAGACCTTGAGCGGTGCCCTCAGTGGTGCATTTGGGGGTCGTGATGCACGGGCTTACCATTATAGGAAAAAAACACTACAATGCTGATATTTCAGGAACATGGACAAAGTTGCCCACGGGCCAGGAATATTGATCACCCTTGGCTGCTGCGATGGAGGGTTGTGGGAGGTGTGCGTGCCAAAATGCAGCGGGCGTTGTCGTGATATGGTTCTCTTCTCGGAGCTGCCTGAGTTCTGCCTGCGCTTGACTCGGCCTTTGCCACGGAGCAAGTGCCGATGTCATGTGGCAATCAGGTTTGCCGCTGCCCGGCACGAGCGGGAGTGGTGTTTGAACGGGCGACCGGATTGGAATTCCGATTGCGCTTCGGGGAAGGCTAGGGAAAGGCAATCGCTCCTCTGCCGTGGGGAACTTCCCCCCCTTTACATTTGGGGACACCTTGGATTTGTTTCTTTAATATCAGGTCAAATGGGCGTGGAAATCTTTTTTTGGTGCCATCTCCTTCATCCAAAGGCCTTCCAGAGGTTTGATTGGGACCGATCCGGCTCTCGAAATGTGGTCCGATCGATTGGGTTTTGGCTCAGCTTTTTCGACCGAACAAAATCCATGGCTAGGTTTGACTCGAACCATGGAGGAGGCCAAGTTACATGGGACACGCATGACAATGTGCTACAGTGAGTGGTGCAAGTTAATAAGTTTGGACTTGGGCCATTCCTGAGGCATCCCTTCAAAGTGAACCGAAGGGGGCGACACGTATCAAAATTTGAGGCCCCGTGCCGCCCCCGGACGCACTTGAAACCCGGTGAGCCATGCGCTTTTCTGCGTGTTTGCCGGGCTTCGTGTTCTTCCGCATCGCCTGCGCGGATGACTGCGCGGCTTGGCCGGTTGGTGGACATAGCCTCCCGTTGCCATGGAATCCGCCAGGGGGGGTGACTTTTGAATAGGGGAACATGGTCTTCAACCCCCGTTCGTGGTTCTAGGCCGGTTGCATTGGCCAAAACGTGGGAATCCTCAAAACGGAGCAAGCAAAAAGGCTTGCATCCCTTCAAGTGCCCATGTTGCGGGGTTCTGGGGCGGGTGGCTTCCCTTGAAACCACCAGGAATTTTGAGCGCGCCGCGCGCGCGCCACCGGAAACGCGCCATGCCTCGACTCGAGGTGCCGGACTCGCCGCAGCTCCTGCAGCGGCAGCTGCAGCTGAGCCCCAGACTCGAGGCGGAGAAGGCCGAGCTGAGCCCTGAGCAGGTGGCCGCCAAGGACCGCTGCCAGCCGCGTGGGCTCAAAACAGGGCTGGGTGGTGGTGGTTGGTTGGTTGCCTGGTTGTAACATGTTTTGGATTTTTTTGGCTGCCCAAATAAGGCATACGCGAATATTTTAGACGTTTTGATCTTGGGGGTTGCCCCAAAAAACACATTTACATGGATATGTTAGACTGTTAGACGTTTTGATTTTGGGGGGTGGCCCAAAATCAAGCACATGAAGCAGACATAAGCATTTTGCCCGCAGATCCCAGGAGCAGCTCTCCGAGTTCCACTTCTTTGTGAAGTTCCACAAGGCCGGCGGCAACGCCGGGTGGATCAACGGCATGCGGTGTCCGTCCTCGAAGGTTTAAACGGTTCCCCGGCAAAGGGACACATTGCCAGGGAGATGATGTTCAATCTTATGTTTTTTTCTTTTGGAGTTTCCAATGAACAACTACCTGATTCAAAAAACTAAAACCAAAAGCAAGAACACACCAAAAACCAGCAGCAACTCATGTTGGAGGAGCCATGGAGTTTGGGGCAGGGGGCGGGGGGCTCGGAGGTTTGGATGCAGACTGCCAGGTGGGAGGATCCACCGTGCGCTCGATCCTGGACCAGCTCACCGGGGCGCATGAGCTGTGCAGCTCCATTTGCGGCTCAGTCGCCTCAGCCCCGGACAAATCAATAGTGGATGAATTGGGCGTTATGGTTCGTATCAATCAACCAGCAGGTGACTCCCAGGTTCTTTTTCTTTTTTTTGGGGATGAGGGGTGGGTTTCGCTTTGAAATCAATGCTTAGCCCTCGAATTGCCTTTTGGGTTAACACCCGGTTTTCCATGAAACCTAAAGGCGATCGACCTTTGCTGAGTCTTTTTTGTTTGAGGGACCTTTTTATTGTTGAAGTTTTTCTTTTTTATAGGCCGCTGAAAGGAAGCCAAGGACTTTGAGGCTTCCACCCAGCAGGAGTGCGGGGGTGGGGATCGATCCATCGATCTCAGGCGGTGATGCCGCCTGGACGTGCCGCCAGTCCGGCCTGGATGCGGCCCGCTGCGTAGAGCAGCATCCCTATGTGCTGCTGCCGTGCCCGCAGGGACCTCCGGCGCAGAAGAAATCAGCAGTTCTAGGGGTACCTTCCATTTCCATTCTTTCCAGGGATCCGAGTCTTGTCAGGAAACCATCCAAATCCCAGGGGAAACAGCCGGTTTTGAAAAGAACGATGGTTGAAAAGAATGGGGAATCAACGCCTAGAGCAGTCGCCGCTTCATGCTTTTTTTTGGCAGTCCTCTTTCGGTGTGGGAAATGTTGGAGCGGGAGTGGTCTGTTTTTTGGGAGACGCGTTTTGGTTGGTTGGCTTTAAGGGGGCGGCCAGAGGAAAACCAGAATCATTGGGATTCCCTCATCTATTTTGAGACGCACCCGTGAATATATCATGTTTCAAGCTCGATCCAATGATGCCGGTTCCTGCTGACGTCCCAAAGCTTGTTTCAAAGGTGCTGGACAATCTTGACCTTATGCGTACTTCTTGGGGCAGGGCCCTTACGTCGACACCTTTTGACCCTCCCATCTGCCCCGCGGAGGAAACGTTCCCAAGAGCTGCTCGGACCATGGCAGCTTGGATGTGCTCAGGGAGGCCTACAGCGGCAAGAGCATCTCTGCAGCGAACAGCTCGGACTTGACCAGCTTGATGAGCCCCGGCAGCCTCAATCGCCGGCAGTGAAAACGCAGTCTTGGGGATGAGAGTGTCTGAGTCTCATGTTTTTCTATCCACAACCATGTTGGACTTATTCAAAGCCCAATTCGGGCATGCCTATAGCAGAAAACACATAATTCCTCAATTTGTCTTGCTACTGCTTTGTTTGCTTTGTTTTTTTTTGCTTGTTTGTTTGTTTGTTTGTTTGTTTGTTTGTTTGTTTGTTGCTTGCTTGCTTGCTTG